ACCTTACTTCAAGACTTGAAATAATAATTTATTGCTATCAACCAGTCAGCAAGCCCAGGGATCCCAGTCCCCTTACCCATGACGCTTTGTTATTTTTGCTCTATAACACCCCTTGTCTGTAAGGCGTTGGAAAGGTCCAGTTTTTCCAGAAGAAGCTGCCCCAGTTCTCCATTGGGTACTGCTATACCACAAGCGCCGATTTCTTTTCCTGCAGCCCCCCCCCCCCGTGTCAGCCTAATTGGCTATCTGCAATGCTGGTTGGATGAACTCTTTGGTCAGTTACATTTATTTGCCCCATCATTTTACTAGGAAATATTTCAAACATGCAGAGAAGCTGCAAGAATAGTGTTTATAGGCATCTGTACATCCACCATCTAGGTTCAATAGTTGTTAACATTTTGTCATATTGGCTTTAATTATATCTTTCTCTTACTAAACCATTTCAAAGTACTTACAAACATCACAGTTTACCCCTCCATATCTTTAATCTGTATATTCTAAGAATAAGAACATAAAAGAGTAAGGACATACTTTTACGTAAACACAATAACATTATAATGTCTACAAAAATTTCACAATTCCCTAATATTATTGAATAATCAATCAATATTTTCATTTTCCACTGTTGCTTAATGTTCTTTATACCTTCTTTGTTTTGAACCAGACTGATCAAAATTCACATTGCATTCGGTTATGTTTCTCTCTCTCCAACATTCTTAATTTTTCAAATCATGCTTATTGAGGTATAATTTGCTCCAGATGTCACCCCTTTTATAAAAGCACAGTTCTAAGGGTTTTGACCAATAGCTATAGTCATGTAATCACCACCAAAGTCAAGACCTACACTATTTCCACCACTGCAAAACGTTCCCTCATGGCCTTTTGTAGTCAGTATCTCCCCCCCATCCCACCTCATCCCCAGCAACCACAGATTTGACTTCTGCCCATTTACTTTTATGCAGTCACATAGATGGAATCACACAGCAGACAGCCTCTGCTGTCTGATTTCTCTCTCACTTAGTAGAATGCTTTTGAGAGTCATGTGTGTTGTTGCATGTCTCAGTTGTTTGTTTTATTGCTGAAAAGAATTCCACTGTATGAATGTACTGAAATTTGCTTATTCATTCACCAGTTGATGAGCATATTTCCAGGTTAGACCCATTATTAATAAAGCTGCTATAAATATTTATATGCAATTCTTTGTGTAGATCTATGTTTTTTATTTCTTTTGAGCAAATGCCCAAGTGTGGATTGCTGGATCATATGTTAAGTGTATGTTAAACTTCATAAGAAATAGTCAACTTGTTTTTCAGTGTCAATACTGTTTTGCACTCCAATTAATAATGTATGAGACTCCCGTTGCTGCTCCTCCTTCCTGGCACTTTGTATAGTCAATTAAAATTATTCTTGCAATACTGGTAAGTAAATGGGTGTGTCATTTTAGTTTAGTTTTCATTTTCCAGTGATAATGGTGTTGGGTATTGTTTCCTGTGCTTATTTGCCATATGAATCTCTTTGATGACATGTACATTTAATTTTGGGTTCATTTTAAACATTGGATCTAACTTTTATCTAAGTTAAAATTTTGTTCATATTATGGTTTTGGTTTGCATTTTCTTGCTGGCTGATCATATTAACTTTTGACATTTCAAGTTTCTCTTAGCTTGTCCAGTTAATGGGTCTAACTCTGCATTTGTCATTGGCTTTGCATTTAAATTTGAAGACACTTTGAGTAGCACTGTCAATCTTATGAGGCAATTTGTCTTTTGCAAGATTTTTTATTTTCACTTTGCAATCAATTAACATGGTACTTTGTTTAGTTTTGTTTTATAATATCCGACAACCAGTGTGAGACTGACCCCCAAATGATGGTGATTCAATGGGATGATGGGCTAGGACTCACGCTCATGTTAAGCTGGGAGAGAGAGAATATGGACTAATTTTTAAGCAGTAAGTTTAACTGTGAATATTTTTGCATAATGACTTTTGTTTCTCTATGGCACCTTGTAAGGTAAGAGACAATAAATTTGTCAACAGGTACTGTTAAATTAAAAATTATTAACTTCTATGACTAAAATCTCCTCAAAGTAAGGTTTGATTGAGCTGAAAATGCTAGCCAAAATACCTTTTGTGGACCATGGAGTCTAAAGTACCAGCATCATAGCTAGGTAGAAAAGACAGCATGTCCATCATCCCAAAGTTATGCAAGAATTTTTATACATTTTTTAGGGAGAAGGTGGGGGAAAGCAGTAGTCTTAAAGAATTTACTTGAGCTATAGGCAAGAGGGTGAGGAATGGTGAAGCAGAACCAGCTCTGGGATGTCAGTAAAGAACTGTGGAGTGGGTGGGTGCAGAATTTGTAAATCTCTTGTGTAAACAATAAACAGAGACCCCTGGTTTAAATAATCTGAGGAAATAAATCGGAAATCCCAACCACAAAGCAGGATTGGAGAAGACTTTGTTAGCTTGCCTGCAGCCATCACCTAACAGTTCTGTGTCTCTCACTCTCTGGCCACTGTAATTTAGAACATCTTGGCATTTCCCCCCCTGTCATTACCCATATCATAATCATTTGGTGGAAATCAGAGGTAACTTCTGAAATGTAAAGGTTAGTAAATTTATATACACTTTAGAATTAATAACTTGGTGCAGAACTTAAGGACTCACTGCAAAGTAACTGTGTGTGAACACAGACATGTTGCAGGCACACTTATTGACTAGGCTGTTACAGCCTAATAGCACTTGAGGATAAAATTTTTTAAAAGCCTACTTAAAATCAATGTATTTAACAGAATGTACTCAATATTTGGCGATATAGCGTAAAAAGAAAATAATTGATATTTTGTAATAAAAAAAACTCAGAATTAGCCCAGCTGGTGTGGCTCAGTTGGCTGGAGTGTCCTCCCACTGGTTTGATTGCTGGTCAGGGCACATGCTTGGGTTGCAGGTTCTGTCCCCAGTCGGGGCAGGTATGGAAAGCAGCTGATCAATGTTTCTCTCTTACGTGGATATTTCTCCCTGTTTCTCTTCCTCCCCTTCCCTTTCTCTAAAATCAAAAATAAAAATTAAAAATTAAAACCCCCAAATTATACAAATTTGTTTGACTTTAGCAAATTTGAAGTTATAATTACAACTGTTATAATTTTTAGGGCAAATTGATTATTGGAGTGTAATTTTTGCAATTACAAATTTTAAATTGTCTACATAAAATTGTAAGTATCTAAAAGTTTCTTTTTCCAAGTTAAATTTCTGGATACTTTATAACCTATGCATGTATAATACACATACTTCATGGACAGACACATAAACATGCGCACACACACACATTTTACCTGTGTAAGTGGTTGTAATGAAAACTTAAGGATTTAGTCAGTTGTCATAGCAGTTCCTAAGAAGTGACTTGATGTATTTGAGTGGGAGGGTCTATAATAACACATCTGGGTTTTATAAACATTGCTCAACCAACTACCCTATTTTATGATGCTAAAACCATGGTGGGGATAGAAGGAACTGAAAAGTTTGTTAGGGAACTATGGAGTCACCATAACTTTCTATTTTCATAAGGGTGCTGCTTCTCAAGAAAAGAGCAGTTGATCCCTGACACGTTTTGTCGCCTGCGCTCTCTTCACCAGCATGTATGTCTCTGCATTTCAAGTTTCTCAAAAATACCTCCTAGAGTTACTGTTTCCAGTGGAAGCAGAGGGATATAAATTTGCAGGTGGAGCTTTACATCTATGATTGAGCTTGCTTAAATTTCCCCTTAGAGGTAGAAAGTGTAGTGATCAAGTGCTCAGTTCCGGTGTCAGAAGACCAGGGCCCAACTCCGCCTCTGCCTTTAATGGTAGTGTGATCTCGAGCAAGTTACTTAAACCCTGTCCCAGCTCTGTTGTATATAAAATGGGAATATTAGTCATCTCCTCTCAAAGAAAGGTTCCAAGAATTAAATACGTCACTACATGGAGAGCATTTAGAAGAGAACTTGGTATATAGCATACATTTAGTAAATGATAGTTTTTATTTATACCAAATGTGACAGCGTAAAATTATACAATATAGCCTGATTGGCAAAACTTCTAAGAATAAGCCAAGTTTAAAAATCACCATGATGACACCAATTGCATTATTTAGTATGGAATTCTATGTTCCAGGCATTCCACCTAGATCTTAAACGAAATTAACCCACTATCTTAATAACTTTCATATTATTCCCACTTACAAACAAGGTACTTGAGAAGTAGTTCAAGTTGCCCATTGTGGGAGAATTAACAGAATTTAAGCTTGTTGGATTTTATTTTGTAACCTGTCTTCTCTTCCACGCCCCCGCCCTGTTAGGGCCTTACGTCAACTCTTGATTAAAGAATTTATTAAATAAGTAATCTATTTTCTGATTAAAATTCCTTTGGAAAATTTTATTAAAGAATAAAAATAGGACATAGTTTCCTAGAATAGTAAAATAGGAAGAAATCTTCAGAGCACCTTATTTAGCCTTCTCGTTATATAACTAAGAAAACAACCAGAACGGCGTCGCAGTTTGTCTTAGATGATACAGCTGAGTCGCTGGGGCAGGTTTCAAGATTCCTGATCTAGTATTTCTTTCGGGACATCACGCTTAAAAATCATCGATATTTACATAAATCGTTTTGTTAACAATGGATCATGAAAATATTACCCGCACATTTAGTAAAATAATAAAATACTACCACTTTTTACTTTTATTTTTTAGTAAAAAAATAAAATACTATCACTTTTTGCTTTACAACAGAAGCGCAGAAAAGTTTCACGCAGCGTTGAAAGCAAAAACTGTCCCAAAACCCGAACCAGTAAAATAAACGCCCACTCTCAGCATCAGCCTCCAAGTAGGAGGAGTAAGGGGCGGGGCTACGGGCGGGAAGCTGGGGCGGGACTTCGAAGGGCGGAACCCCAGCGGATTACTACGATTGGGCAGGCCTATAACGGCTGTCTTCTAACAATGTTGCGCGGCCCGTTTTGCGCATGTGCAGCCCATTTCAAACTGGTGTGACCGCCAGGCACTTGGTGTTTGCGAAGGTCCGAGCCAATGGGCGAGGGCCCCGGCAAGCGCTGAGTGGTTGGCAACAAGTTCCTTGCTCCGGCTGCCGCCCTCCAACAGCGTGCCTCTGCTTCGCCTCCTCGCCGTTGTCCCCACGACACTGTCAGTGCTGGGCTTCCTCTAGGCGCGGCCCGGGAGGGCTCTCACCTCAGATTACCCGCGCGAGCGTAGCGGGGTCTGAACATGGCTGCGTCCAGTCTGGTAAGTGCCGCGCTGGCAGCTTCAGGCCAGTGGGTGTCCGGCTGCTCGGGGCGCTCTCGCCCGAGGGGCGGGGAGAACGAAACCGGGCCCAATCCGTGACTTCTTGGGGGTTTCAGTGGAAAGGCCGCGCGAATATTTTGGTATCTGGAGTGAATGCTTGCCGATCTTCAGAGCTTATTTATTTACTTGTACTGTTTTGTCAAGTTTTCTTGTGATTTCGGTCGTGATGACTGGAATCTTTCTCTTCAGGGAATCTTGCGCTTTCTACTTTTTAGACTCACTCCGGTTCCTAATCCTCCAAATAAAATTTTCTGTCGGTAGAACTGGTGAAATGCCTTAAAAGTGTGCGTGTGCTTCAGACTCGCGGGTCTGCAGAAGCAGATTATTTACGGAGAATCTGTGCTTGATGACGTCTTCCGAAGGGCGGCCTTGGAAGGTGCGAGCTGTCAGTGACCGGGGAGGGCTTTGTTTGTTACGGGTTTCTGGACGCCCGCGGGGTTTACTGTTCCGCCCGGCTCACTCCGCTTCTGGTTACCATGTGTCACACCCGCGACATCATCCCCTATCCTAAACTTGTATTTCTCCCTTTTTCCCCCTTTTTAAGAAAGTCTTCAGCATCGGTGTACTTCCAGTTATGTAAAGTTGTATTTGTATGCATAAAGAGATGTATGAAAGGGTAGTATGAGGGGTACTTTTTTTTTTACTGTGAACACATAGATTATTTACATTATATAATAAAAAGGAATATTGGGGAAAGAGAAGGGGAATAAAATTTACTGTTTGAAAAAACTTAATTTTTTTTAGGTTTACAGCAAAGTTGAGAGGAGGTACAGAGAGATTTCCCATATACCCCGTGACCCCACAGGCATAGCCTCCTCCATTATCAACATTCCCCACCAGAGTGATACATTTTTTACAGCAGATGAACTTACATTGACACACTGCCACTTAAAGTACATAGTTTTTGTTAGGGTTCACTCTTGGTGTGCTTTCCGTGGATTTGGACAAAGAATGATATGTATCTGTTATTGTATCATTCAGAGTGTTTTCACTGCCCTATAAGTTCTATGTGCTTGCTACTCATTCCCCCACCACCCCAACCCAGGTGACCACTGAGCTTTTACTGTCTCCATATTCACCTTTTGCAGAATGTCATATAGTTGGAATGATCCGGTATGTAGCCATTTTTGATGGACTTCTTTCACTTAGTAATATGCATTTAAGGATCCTTTATGTCTTTTTATGGCTCATTGTTTCTGACGTGCATAGTTTATCCACTAACTTACTGAAGGGCATCTTGGTTGCATCCAGATTTTGGCAATTACGAATAAAGCTGCCATAAACATCTGTATACAGATTGTTGTGTGGACATTGTCGACTCCTTTGGATTAGTACAAAGGAGCACAATTGGTGGGTTATATGGTAATAGTATGTTTAGTTTTATAAGAAATCACCACACTGTTTTCCAAAGTAGCTGTACCATTTTGCATTCCAAAATGAATGAGAGTTCCTTTTTTTAAAGTACATTTTGTTGATTATGCTATTACAGTTCTCTTCTCCCCTTTTATTCCCCTCCACCCTACCCCTCAGGAGCACCCCCTCCCCCCTTACTTCATGTCCAAGGGTCATATAAGTCCTTGGGCTTCTCCATTTCCTATACTATTCTTAACACCCCCCCCCCTTTCTATTTTGTGCCTACCATTTATGCTTCTTATTCCCTGTACCTTTCTTCCCATTTCCTCCCCACCTCCCACTCCTCCATGTGATCTCTATTTCTGTGATTCTGTTCCAATTTTAGTTTGCTTTGTTTTTGTTTTTTGTTTGTTTTAGGTTCAGTTATTGATAGTTGTGAGTTTGTTGTCATTTTACTGTTCACATTTTTGATCATCTTTTTCTTAGGTAAGTCCCTTTAACATTTCATGTAATAAGGGCTTGGTGATGATGAACTCCTTTAACTTGGAAAGCACTCCTTATCTGGAAAGCACTTTATGCCCTTCCATTCTAAATGAAAGCTTTGCTGGATAGAGTAATCTTGAATGTAGGTCCTTGCCTTTCATGACTTCGAATACTTCTCTTCAGCCCCTTCTTGCCTGCAAGTTTTCTTTTGAGAACTCAGCTGACAGTCTGATGGGAACTCCTTTGTAGGTGACTGTCTCCTTCTCTCTTGCTGCTTTTAAGATTCTCTCCTTATCTTTATTTTGGGTAATTATGATGTGTCTTGGTATGTTCCTCCTTGGGTTCAACTCCTTTGGGACTCTGAACTTTCTGGACTTCCCAAAAGTCTATTTCCTTTGCCAGATTGGGAAAGTTCTCCTTTATTATTTGTTCAAATAAGTTTTCAATTTCTTGCTCTTCCTCTTCCCCTTCTGGTACGCCAATGATTCGGATGTTGGAACATTTAAAGATGTCCTGGAGGTTCCTAAGCCTCTCCTCATTTTTTTGAGTTCTTGTTTCCTCATTCTTTTCTGGTTGGATGTTTCTTTCTTCCTTCTGGTCCACTCTATTGATTTGAGTCCCAGTTTCCTTCTCATCACTGTTTGTTCCCTGTATATTTTCCTTCAGTTCACTTAGCATAGCCTTACTTTTTTCATCTAATTTGCGACCATATTCAACCAATTCTGTGAGCATTCTGATTACCAATGTTTTTAACTGTGCATCTGATAGATTGGCTACCTCTTTGTCACTTTGTTGTATTTTTTCTGGAGCTTTGATCTGTTCTTTCATTTTGGCCTTTTTTTTTTTTTTTTTGGTCTTGGCCTGCCTGTTACATATAAGGGGCAGAGCCATCCACATTGCTGCTTTGTGACGCTGTATGTGGGGGAGGGGTCCAAGAGGGAACAGTGGCACTTGCTCCACTCTCTGCCACATTTCAGTCCCTTCTCCCACTACCCACAAGCAAATTGGGCCCTTCTGGTGCTGATTCCTGGGTGTGTGGGCTTGCATATGTTCTACGACCCTGTGGGTCTCTCCAACAAACTCTCCTGTGAGGCTGGGAATTTCTCCTGTCACCTCAACCCCCAGAGGTTTTTTCAGTCAGTGGTTTTGAGGCTTTATTTCCCTGTGCTGGTACCCTGGGTTGTATGGTCTGTCTCACTCTCTAGCTGTTCCTCCTGGTTTATCTGCAGGTGAATGTGGGATTGCCAGCTACAGCCTTGTCTGCCTGGTCTTCCAGCTACTGCCTTGCTCCTTGTCCCCTCCTCCCTGGCTCCCTGTCTCCACCTCTCCTACCAATCTGGATGAATATTTCTTCTTTAACTCCTTGGTTTCTGGACTTACATACAATTTGATTTTCTGGTAGTTCTGGTTGTTTTTGTATGTTTTTAAATTTGTTGTTGTCCTTCTTTTGCTTGTGCAAAGGCAAATTTTATTTACCTATGCCTCCATCTTGGCTGGAATTCTGAATGAGAGTTCCTATTGCTCCTCATCTTCACCAACATTTGGAGTTGTCAGTGTTCCAGATTTTGAAATTCTGATAAGTATGTAATGGTATTATTGTTTTAGTGACCTCTTTTCATATACTTATTTGCTATCCATATATTATCTTAGGTGATGTGTCTATTAAGGTATTGGGCCAATTAATTTTTTTATTTGGGTTGTTTTCTTGTTGCTGAGATTTTAAAGTTCTTTTATATAAGATGTGTCTGCAAATATTTCTCCCAAGTCTGTCTTGTCTGATCTTCTCTTAACCACAGTTTATTTTTCAAATTCCTAGCATAATCTCTGAGCTCTTTAAAGTCTTTAGTTCTAATAATCACTTTATATTATAATCCATTTAAAAAGACAAAAAGGGGAGAGGGGAGAGATAATCCTTCATCATTCCTGTACTTAGTGGTTTTTAATTGGGAGTGGTTTTGCCCTTTAGGAGTCATTTGGTGAGGTCTGGAAAAATTTCAGGTTCCCCTGAGATGGAATTGGTAAGGGGGTACTAAAGGCACCTAGTGGGTGGAGGCCAGGGATGCTACTAAGCATCATCTTACAATGTATAGAATTGGCCTTCACAACAGAGTCATCCAGCCCAAAATGTTTGTAGTGCTGGGTTTAGGAACTCTGCTGATGTGTATATTATTTTCCTTAAGAAACAATCTTGCAGTGCGTGGGAAGAAAGTAAAATTGAAACTCACTGAAGAATGAGTTGAAATCTGCAGTTTTTGATTGTGTATTTGTTTTGAAAATTAAAATTTTTTACATTCTAAGATTTAATTGAGGATTAAGAGATCTTGTTTTGTTCACCACTTGTTCTCAAGTATGCCTAAATAGTGCTTGGACCTGTAGTAGGTGCTTAGTTAATATTAGTCTAGTGAATGAACTATCTAAGCTTTAAAATTTTCTACTTCAAAGGGGGATAGCCCTTGCTGGGTGGCTCATTTGGTTGGAGTGTCCATCTTAAACACCAAAAAGGTTGCAGGTTTGAATTCCAGTCAGGGGACCTAACTAGGTTGCAGGGTACCATCTCTGGTTAGGGCATAATATCGCAGGCAACCAGTTAATGTTTCTGTTTGTGTCTGTCTCTGGATCTCCCTTCCCTCCCCTACCCTCCCTCTTTCTGTAAGATCAGTAAACATATCCTTGGGCAAAGATTTAAAAAGGGTGGGGAACACAAGGTACTTAATAGGTGTTAAAGGTTATAATGTGTGCAAATTTGATGTGTTTTTCAATTTACTGTGTGAAATTAGAAGAGTAGCCTTAAATTAGGCCTTTGAATGTAGGTAACTAACATTTTCAGGAGTTTATTTCAGTGTTCAAAATGCTGATTGCTGGACAGAGACCAAAGTGCTTGAGTTACTTTTCATCAAATGACTGTGATAAAATGAATGGAGACGTGTTGATGTGTTTGTTCCTTATTTTATTACCTATGAAGTAGATTTCATCTTTTGCTTCTTACGTACTTCCTGAGGATAACAGGCTGTGTGAAATACTCTTACCTTCTTTGAGAAAACAAGACATTGTTATCTCATAAGTTTTTGGTTTTATTTATTTAGCATGTCAAAAAATATTTTGAAAAAATGATATTTGTATGGTATACAATGTGCTAGGCAAGGCTGTGGGAAGAATATAAACTGGCTTAAGACAAGGTGTGTGCTGTCAGGTTTCTTAAAATCTAATAGGGGTTTTCATTTTCCGGAACATACACTACAATTAAAAGGCCATTAGATGGGCCAGGCAAGGCAGGGTCCCTATGGGTGGGAACTGCAGTATGTAGGAGCCTGAGTGGAGTCAGGACAGTGGACCAACTCAGGATGTCAGAGCATGAGTGGGGTAAAGGGAATGTCCACATAGAGTGGAGTAATTTTTAGCCCACTGGGCCAGGTTAACAGGAAGACTTAATAAACATTTGGTATTGATAATATGTTTGTTTTTAAAAACATCCTATTTATCTTATTACTACCCAATTTGTAAGTAGAAAATTTAACTTTATAGATTTTACAATTAAAAGACAGGACCCGGAGTATCACAGATATACTCTCTACCTCCATTACAGCATGTTTATGTGTTTTATTTTTTTCTGTTGTTTCCATTGACTGGGGCTGCTTCTTTGTTGGGGTTACCTGTTTTCTTTGTCTGGAAGCATCTAGGATCTTTCTATCTTCAGTTCTCAAATTTCAGTGTTATTTTCCTAGGTATGGATCTTAAATTCATTAGGCTGCTATTGATGGCCTGCAGATTTGGGAAACTGGATTTTATATTTCCTTAGAATATGACTCTTTTTTCTTTGTATGTCTGGAATGACTTTGGATCTTCTAATTTTTGGATCTTCTTTGTTTTATTCTTTCTCCATTTTTTCTTTCTCCTCTTTATCTTTTGTTTTGTTCTCTCCTGCCCTCCCCCCCCATCCTCAGCTTTTTCATAATTAATTGCATTTTTATTTTAGGTAATCATGCTTTTCATTATTAAGAATTTTCTTATTTTCTGTTTAATGTATATAGTTTTGAGTCCAGTATTATGTCAAATCTCTGTTGAAGATAGAAATTAACATTTTCTTGTTTTTGAAGCTTTTTTTTTTTCTCATCCTTGATATTACTTTCTTCTTAGGCCATTTTTCTTTTTATTTAAAAAATTTACACCTTGATTTTCTTCTTTTGTTTTAGAGACTTTTAAATGTCTGGTAATTCATATTTGCTTATATTTAAGATTGAGATGGTGGATACTGTTTTGGAGCTCTGTTAAAGGGGATAGGGCTAGTGGAGGTCTGCTGTTCTGTATACGTTTTAATTGCTCTGTTTTTATTCTCTTTCTTACTCTTCTTCCTCTAGGTCTTGAATTTCCTAGTTCTACATAGTTATGGCTTTCTTCTGGGCATATCAGCTTTATAAACTCCTCATCAAGGACTGTATTCTGTGAGCTTACTTTAGGCTACTACTACTTTCATTCTGTTTTATAAATTATGATTCATTTATTTTTCTTCTTCCAGAAAGTTGTTAAATTTGTTTGTTTGTCCGTACATGGTCCTCTCTCCCATTCTCTTTTTCATTGTTGTTTTATGCCATTTTCTGTTTTTTACTGTTACTTTAGAGGAATTTTTTTTAGTGAAAGGAGATAAGTAGATATGGTTAGTCAACCAATTTTAATTATTAGAAGGCCAAATACTTAGGACTTTGGTGATGGAAAAGGTATGGGGGGATGTGAAGAAAGAAGAGGAAGAAGATAGAATAAATCCCAGGGTGGGAAATGATAGAGGTAAAGGTTTGTAAACAGTAGAGAATAGTTCCTCTTTATAATATTGTAATAGGTCATTAACAAATACTTGCTCAATGAATAAATGAATAACACATTTAAAAAATTTTTTTGATTTTAATTGTTGTTCAAGTATAGTTTTCTGCCTTTTACTCCCATCCCAGCCCACCTCCCCCAGCCCTCTCCACCTCCCTCCCATTTCCACCCCCCTTGTTTTTGTCCATGTGTCCTTTGTACTTGTTTCTGTAAACCCTTCCCCTTTTCCCCTGAAATTCCCTCCCCTCTCCCCTCCGAACACTGCCAGCCTGTTCTCTATTTCAGTGTCTTTGGTTATATTTTGCATGTTTGATTGTTTTGTTGTTTAGGTTCGTGTTAAAGGTGAAATCATGCGGTATTTGTCTTTCACCTTCCGGCTTATTTCACTTAGCATAATGCTTTCCTATTTCATCCATGCTGTCGCAAAGGGTAGGAGCTCCTTCTTTCTTTCTGTTGCATAGATGAATAACAAATTGTCTAGCATGCTAATATTGGGGTGAAAGTATTTTGAAGAAAACTTGTATTTGAATAAATTTTAAGCAAAGAAACCAAATCGATGACTTTTTTTTTTTTTCAGGATCATCTCAAAAATGGCTACAGAAGAAGATTTTGCCAACCTCCTAGGTGATTTATATACTTATATATAGTTTAAGATGACTTTTATATAAGTTTAAGATGACTTTTGTTACCATCTTCAGAAAGTAGAATTTTTAAATGAAGAAAAGAAAAATTATTATCTTTGACCAAAATAACGATTTATTTTTTTTAATTCATTCTTTTTATAATTAAAATTTTCTTATTGTTGTTCAATTGTCTCTGTCTATCCCCCATTACTCTCACCTTGCCGTACACAACCCCCACCTCCCACATTCAATCCTCCCCCATGCCTTGTCTTTGTCCTTGGGTCCTTTACAAGTTCCTTGACTTGACACTTCCCCTTCTTTCCCCTGTTATCCTCCTCCCACCTGTCTTCTGGTTACTGGCAGCTTGTTCTTTATTTCCATGTCTCTTTTTCTATTTTGCTTGCTTGTTTATTTTTCTGATTAAGTTCCACTTATAGGTGAGATCATATGATATTTGTCTTTTACTGCCTGGCTTATTTCACTTAGCATTAATACTCTCTCCAGTTCCATCCATGCTGTTGCAAAGGGTAGGAGCTCCTTCTTTCTTTCTGTTGTGTAGTATTCCATTGTGTAAATGTACCGCAGTTTTTTGATCCACTCATTTACTGATGATGGACCCTTAGGCTGGTTCCAGCACTTGGCTATTGTAAATAATGCTGCTATGAACATTCGGGTGCATAGGTTTTTTTGAATTGGTGTTTCCAGAGCAAGGGTTATAAAAGAAAGAATAAACAAATGGGACTTCATCAAAATAAAAAGCTTCTGCATGGCCAAAGGAAATACCAGCAAAATGAAAAGGGAACCAACCGTATGGGAAAATATATTTGCAAATGATATCTCTTAAAGGATTTGATCTCCAAAATATGTAAAGAATTCACATGACTCCATACCAGGAAAACAAAAAATCTAATTAAAAAATGGGCAAAGGACCTGAACAGATACTTCTCTAAGGAGGACATACAAAGGGCCCAGAGACGTATGAAAGGATGCTAGCCATCAGAGAGATGCAAATTAAAACAACAATGAGGTATCACTTCACACTGGTCAGAATGTGCATCATAAACAAATCAATTAACAACAAATACTGGTGAGGTTGTAGAGAAAAGGGAACCCTAGTACACTGTTGGTGGGATTGCAGACTGGTGCAGCTACTGTGGAAAACAGTATGGAATTTCTTCAGAAAACTAAAAATGGAATTGTCTTTTGACCCAGCAGTTCCACTGCTTGGATTATACCCTAAAATAATGATTTCTATGTCCACTAAGTAGTCATTTTAGTTATTTTATATTAAGAAACAAATAGTAATGTAAGCATGCAATGGCTTAGTGGCAGTGAGAAAAGAAGTTAATTTGATAAATGATGGACTAGGAAGAGGCCATTACGACTGATGACAGCTATGGGAAAAGAAAGCACTCCGAAGAATGGATTAAATGGTAATAGAAAGATGCAGCTTGTCCAGTGGGACTAAAACAAGTAGTAGGTGTAGTTATAAAGGGTCAGTAAAAGAATCTTTGTTGGTGATGGAACTGTTTAGTATCCTGATTGCAGTAGTGATATCTGAACCCATATATGATTAATTGTACAGAACTAAATATATACACATATTAATACATACAGAACTGGAGAAATCTGATTAAGATTGATGGATTGTATCAGTATCAATATCCTGGTTCTGGTAGTATACTAAAGTTTTGTCGAGTGTTTTGAAATTTAAGGAAAACAGTAAACTGAAAAAGGGATCTCTTATATTAGTTTTTACAACCGCATGTGAGTATACAACTAACTCAATGTAATTTTTAATTAAAAATTTATACTGATTCATAAAGTACTGCTAAGATTAATGATATTGAATCAAAAGTGCATTTGAGAACTTGCAGAGAAGACTGTTACTTGGAGCCGTTAGGACTTGTGACAGTAGAGTCTTTATTAAAAAAAGAATTTCAGGACTAAATGGATTTGTTCAAAATAATTTGTGTTCTTGTTTAGGTACATCTAAAGCCTTACACAGCTTTAGGCATTGATATCCTATCTTAGGGATATAATTATTAATGCAGATAATGACATACTACTTCACATATTTTTCTGGGAATTCTTGGAGTCAAGTACTTATTTTGTCCTCAGATGGTAAAGGTGATGTTTTTCCCATTAATTAACTTTTTTTAATTAAGGAGATAGGGAATTTTCAAAGTAGATGGTAATGTAAATAACAAATATTTTCTGGAAATAATATGTTAAAATATTTTTCTTCTTTTTTTTTTTTTCTTATTAGGGCACCTGACATTAATTTGAGGCAAGACCAGAACATACTGGTAATCTTACAAGACTGCTTTGAAGAAAAAAGTAAGATTTCATTTCCAAATGGACTTCGAGGGTCTGGATGGATGAAGATAGTAATTTGTCACACTAATAATCAAATGCAGCAAATATGTTTCAGCATCTATTATAAAATATTATAAAATATTTTCCCAGGAATTATGATTACCTGTGCAATCTTTCATGTATTCAGTATCTTCCGGTACTCAGAGGATAAGGGGCAAAAATGAGAATAATTGTCATTCTCTTTAGTTTACACTAGATTCCTATAGTCTGGAAATTCATAGGTAATTACCATACACAAGAAAAAAGTATTTCATGTAATAGAAATAAATGTGCAGAATTCTTGGGGTCACTAGAGGGCTTGAAATAATATTTGGTGATCTGCACCCATTTCTAAAGAAATGGTGAATTATGTCAAAAAGTTTTCTAAGTCCTGGTCAGTGTCAGAAGGTACTGGAATAAGAAAATAGACCAATCAAAGAAATAAGTACAACTCATGAAAAAGTATCTTCTATATAAGCTCTGAAAGATCTGACACATATTTCTTCAGCATCTTGTCTTTTTTAATTCCTGATGCTTTCTAGGGACATTTGAATATTGTATTGATGTCTGTACTTCATTTAAGCTCATTGTATTTAAAGAGTAAACAGATTTATGTGTCAACATAGAGATTTTTTAAAATTGTAACCCAAATATTTTATACTGTATTTTATTTTTTTAAATTTCTTCCTTTAAAAATTTTTGTTAGGTCTTGCCAATGATTTTAGCACAAATTCTACAAAATCAATACTTTACTCAACACCCAAAGAAAAAGGTACTTGTCTTCAGTCGCCAATTAGAGAGGTAAGTCAAAAAAAAAATGATAGTACAGCTTTAATATTTTAATAAGTGAATACTCAATGTTGTTAGGTACATTTTAGTTGTTTGTAAATCTTATTCTTAAAAGGGAATCTTACATTCCCATCGATTTTTCTATAAAATTTGGAGGTATTTGTGAAAATTTTGAATTGATAATTCCTGTGTTTGAAATTAAAGAACTGGGAATGTGAATTATCAAATTATAACACAGTCATTTTTCACTTCTAAAAAAATAAATTAGGTTTTTAGGAAAGTGGACAGCTTTTGAAGTTCTAAATCTAGGTGGACAAGTCTGGTTGTTTTCTGAAAACTGAAGCAATTGTTGCTGCTATATGGGAAAATTAATATTTTATTGCTTGTATATCTTAAGAGGGCAGGTTGATTTAAATCTACAAAGCGGAAGACTTTCAAATAGAGTTCTTGAAACTAATGATTGAAGAAAAATTATTCAAAAGTACAATACAAATTGGAGCTAAAAATCAAATGCTATAAATAATATTTATAAGAAACTGGCATAAACAAATAATTAAACATATATAGCATTTTGGTTGAATGGAATGAACAGGTCTGTTTCTTTCAGAACTGAGAGACCTTTTCCAATGTCATACATTGATTTTTGAAAGTTAAATCAATTTTAAGTTTCCTTCACTTGGTCACAAAGTATTACTTATTTTTTATTTGTTTTGCTAATATTTAAGATCTTTGCATTGAATAATATTGTCTTTCTTTCCTAGGTAATGCCAAATTGTTTTCAAAAGTAGTTTAAGTATACAACTCTACAGCCTGGCTTATTATTTTTAAATACTTGATTTTTTCTTCAATTTAATAACAAATGTTTTTAATCAGATTTGGTAATTTAAGCGAGTACATCTAATGATCTAATGTTATTCCTTTAGGCTCAGTCCCAGATACCACATTCAAAGTCTGTTTCAGTTTCTTTAAGAAAAAAAGGAGCCTCTCAGCAGTTTACTGTAGAACCAAGTACAGCTGAAAAAGAATCAGGTTGGTGGCATGCCCATGGGTGTTACTTGCCTAGATATCTATTTTTCTTTCTATCTATCTATCTATCTATCTATCTATCTATCATCTACCTGTCTATCAATCAATCATATATCCATCATCTATGTATTTATCTTTTCTATTGAATTTATTGGGGTGACAAAAGTTGATAAAATTACATAGGTTTCAGGTGTACAATTCTATAATAAATTAGGTATATTTAAAAAGTTAGAGACTTCTGCCAAGATGGAGGCGTTAGGTGGAAGCACTGTGCCTTCTCCCACAACCAAGTTTAAAAACAACAAAGTTTTAGCAACAAAAACGCAGCAAACCACAGAAAGTTGAACTATATGGAAGTCTGACAACAACGAACCCTTCAGCCAAACCGGGCTACCAGAAGGGGAAGAAGAACAGCCACGAGTGGAAACCTTATTTGAACAAATAATAAAGGAGAACTTCCCCAATCTGGCAAAGGAAATAGACTTCCAGGAAATCCAGGAAGCTCAGAGAGTCCTAAAGAAGTTGGACCCAAGAAGGAACACACCAAGGCACATCAACATTACATTAGCCAAGATTAAAATGAAAGAGAGAATCCTAGAAGCAGCAAGAGATAAGGGGACAGTCACCTACAAAGGAGTTCCCATCAGACTGTCAGCTGATTTCTCAAAAGAGACCTTACAGGCAAGAAGGGGCTGGAAAGAAGTATTCCAAGTCATGAAATCCAAAGACCTACAACCAAGATGGCTCTATCCAGCAACATTTTCATTTAGAATGGAAGGGCAGATAAAGTGCTTCTCAGATAAGATCAAATTCAAGGAGTTCATCATCACCAAGCCCTTATTATATGAAATGTTAAAGGGACTTATCTAAGAAAAAGAAGATAAAAAAGATGAACAGTGAAAGGACAGCAAACTCACAGTTATTAACAACCACACCTAAAACAAAAGCAAACTAAGAGGACAGCTAGATCAGGAGTGAACCATAGGAAGGAAGATCACATGGAGGGTTAGCAACAGGGGAGTGGGAGAAGGAGAAGGGGGGAAAAGATACAGAAAATAAGTAGCATAGACGGTAGGTAGAAAATAGATAGGGGGGAGGGCAAGAATAGTAGGGGAAATACAGAATCTAAAGAACTTGAGACACATGGTCATAAACTAAAGGGGAGGAGTGGTGGGGGTGGGGGTGTGCAGGGTGGGGGGGAGTGAGGAGGGGAATAGAACTGTAATGGCATAATCAATAAAATATATTAAAGAAAAAAGAAAAGAAAAGTTAGAAGTGCTGCAGGTGATACCTGTGTTGGCTTCAGTGACAAGATCATGGCCAGTCTAAGCAGAATTGTGAAATGAAATTGTTTTTGCGTCCCTCTCAAGTCCCTTTCTAGAGTTGTTTTTTTTCAATTGTGAATAAGAATAAGTTTTATGTGATTATCTGTTCTTTTGTTTTACTGGTAGGAACATTGCTTACTAGGATGTGGTAAGAGATATTAGATAAGAATTTTTATAGGGAATATAGCTTTAGTAGTTTTCAAATAGATTTTTCTTTTAAAATAATGATAATGTTTTTTAATCTCATATTTTCTCGTGGTTAGGAATTTAGTACAGCCTAGTTAGATGATCCTGACATGAAATCTGTCATGGGTGGCAAGATGTTGGCCAGGGATTCAGTCATCTGAAGGCTTGACTGGAGCTATATTGTTCAAAGACGACTCACTCATGTGGGCTAGTTGCTGGCTGGAAAATTCCTTTCCACGAGCTTTTTGAGTATCTTTAAAAACAATTTTTTTTTCGGTTAAAGTCTAATTGTCCTGTACCATTATATTAGTTTCATATGTCCATCATAATCATTTGCTATTTGTAAATACATAGTTGCTGTTCTCTTTCTCCTTTCTAATTTTGTTCAATTTATTTTTTTAAATACATTTTATTGATTATGTTATTATAGTTGTCCCATTTTTCCTCCCCTTTTTTCCCTTCTGCCTTCACTTCTCCTCCCACCAGCGTACTCTGCCCCCCTACCTTAGTTCATGTCTCTGGGTCATATATATATAAGTTCTTTGGCTTCTCCATTTCCTATACTGTTCTTAACCTCCCCTTGTCTATTTTGTATCTACCGTTTATGCTTTCCCTGTACCTTTTCCTCCATTCTTCCCCTCCCACTCCCCAGTGATAATCCTCCATGTGATCTCCATTTCTGTGATACTGTTCTTGTATTGTTTGCTTAGTTTGATTTTTTTTTTAGGTTCAGTTATTGATAGTTGTGAGTTTGTTGTCATTTTACTGTTCACATTTTTGATCATCTTCTTTTTCTTAGATAAGTCCCTTTAACATTTCATATAATAATGAAATGGCTTGGTGATGATGAACTCCTTTAACTTGACCTTATCTGGGAAGCACTTTATCTGCCCTTCCATTCTAAATGAAAGCTTTGCTGGATAGAGTAATCTCGAATGTAGGTCCTTCCCTTTCCTGACTTTGAAAACTTCATTCCAGCCCTTTCTTTCCTGCAAGGTTTCTTTTGAGAAATCAGCTGATAGACTTATGGGAACTTCTTTGTAGGTAACTGTCTCCTTTTTTTTCTCTTGCAGCTTTTAGGATTCTCTCCTTGTCTTTAATCTTAGGTAATATAATTATGATGTGCCTTGGTGTGTTCCTTCTTGGGTCCAAATTCTTTGGGACTCTCTGAACTTTCTGGTCTTCCTGAAAGTCTATTTCCTATTTGCCTTGCTTCTTTACTTGTGCTGTTCCATAGTACTTAAGGGACTGGGCCTGGCACTGCCTAAGGCTTTGCTCTCTGCCCATGCAGTGGAATGGGGTGCTCCGAGGCCTGGGTTGTGGAGTGGGTGTTAGAGTTTCCCACTTGGTCTCTGAGTGTTTCCCTTCTAGAGAGTGCAGGTTACCCCCAGCCTCCTTACCTATTGGTTGTTCTGGATTGCAGGCCTCTTCAGAGCCCAGTATGGGTATATATATTTGGGGAATATAAAGAAAACCCAAGGAATTAATCACATTGTCTGTTGTTGCTGAAGGCTTGCAGTTCTTAACAAATATACCTTCTCTCCAGCTTTCAGAGTTCTGTTATTGTTGTTTGATGGATAATTACCAGAAAATGTAATTGTATTTAGAGTGAAAAGTATGAAAAAGTGAGATTATGATATCTTGTTCCTGAATCAAAAGCCATTTTTGCTTATAATTTTAATTTTTAATCTTTGCTTCTTAAGAACATGAGTCAGTGTGAATGCTATCTGGTCATTATGTTTTCTTTGATATTTGAAAATTGAGGGTTAAGAGGATATATATATATATATTTTTACATATATAGATCTTCATATGTGTATGTAAATATGAAGATAATACTTATATTTATATTCTCTTCATAGATACACATATCTGATATATATCTCTATATCTGTATACTGTATAATCTCTGTTATTCTATATATGTGTATGTGTATGTTTAAATATGTGCTTAGTTAGCTGTCCTAGTTTACTCTTAATCTAAAGATTGAATCTTGCCCTGGCTGGTGTGGCTCAGTGGAAGTGCTGACTTGCGAACCAAAGGGTCGCCCATTTGATTCCTAATCAGGGCACATGCCTGGGTTTTGTGCCAGATCCCCAGAAGGGGGCTCATGAAAGACAACTGCACACTGATGTTTCTCTCCCTCTCTTTCTCCTTCCCTTCCCCTCTCTAAAAATTAATAAGTGTAAAAAATCTTTTAAAAAAAGATTTTAAAAAATTTAAGGATCCCTTTGATTGATAAATAAATAAATAAAGATGGAATCTTTTAATTTCTCTAAGATTACTTCATTGTTTTACCCATGCAAAGATTTATTCAGATCTAGAATAAATTGACTATCGATAAAACTGTGAATTTTCTATATTTGAGTATTTCTCTTATTTCATACTTCAGAGAATGAACCAAAATACGTATTTCAATTCATTAATTTCAGAAATTATAACTTTAAAGTATGTTCTTATGTATTTTAATTGTAGATCTTTGATTATAAACTTAGTTATCTGTGAGTCTTCTGAAAATTATTTTAACTGAAATAGTTGATGAATTTTAAAAAGATTCTAATATTATTTTAAAATATTAAAATATCTTCACATAATTTTCTCCCAGTCCAGGCTCATGAAGTTCATCAGAAAGTTTTGGCAACTGATGTTGGTTCTAAAAATACCCCTGACTCAAGAAGATTGTCAGGTAAAAAACTACAAGGTCATCTCACTGAAGCCGATGAAGAATTTTACTTATCTGTTGGTTCACCTTTTGTTCTTTTGGATGCAAATACATCAGCACTGCAAAATGCTATTTCGCCTATTGGGCAAAAGAGAGAGACCTACATTTTTGAAGATTCAATAAATATGCTGTCTTCAAGTACAGAGATTTCTCTTAAAACCAGAAAAAGGTGAACTTTTAAAATTTAAATATTCTACTATGAAAGTTTTACCATTTATATTAAAAAGTACATAATTTAATCTCATGGATTTTATAGTAAGTATGAAGGAATATTAACATGTTATGAGGATAATATAATATATTCAGTATATATTCAATTTAGTATTTAATAAGGAAGATCTTAAAGTGCACTTCAGAGAAGCTGGGGGTAACTTTGCTGCTGTGTGGAAAATGTATTTTTTTTTCTGATATGTTTCTGTAACTTTCTAGGAGAATTAATTTTTATTTTTCTACACTATTTGTAATTAACAGGGTAGGTATGTATTAGGTCATTTCCAGGGTAACAAAGGATAAGTATTATTAAGGATGAACTACTGTAAACTAATGTCCATTTTTTGGAGCTTTTTCTTTAGCTTTTTAGAAGCAAAGTAGATCATTCCGGGTCTTTTGCTCTTGGGGACCTCTGCAATGAGTACAATTTCTGTCAAAGGTATTGTGTGATTTTGGAGCCAATCAGTTAAGTACATTCTAAAAGTTTGTGATTTAAAGAATGGTCTATACCTAAGGATCAGAGCAATGGAATTATCTGGAAGATTATTAATAATATAGTAAGTGCTCACTAAATGTCATCAATAGGTTTTGTGACTGTGAGTGAAATGAAATGTAACTAAACCAATTTTACCATTGGCTAATTGATAGAAACAGGAGTTCCTGTGGCATCTCATCAACTTAATAATGAAAACATGCTGAATGAAATAACATCATTTGAGAATATGCTGTACAGAATCTCAAACTGTGCCCTAGACCTACTGAATCAGAATCTGTATTTGAATAAGATTCTCTAAATAATTCGAATTTCTATCAGATGTTCAAGAACTAGTGCTGTAAGCTATACATTTCTGGTATATGATTTATCTTTTTAATTTTGTTCTATTGACAAATACAAACAAAACTTTTTCTGAGTGATTTGCCTTGTATATTTGTGTAAGATTACAAATCAGCATTTATAAATTTTTAATAAAGGCTTACTGGAAATTTTTGTAAGTGGTCTGTGTTATCACTATAAGGGAATTCAGGAAAACTCATAAACTGGGATTATTCAGCTTGTCTTCTTTTTAACCTTTTAGGTTAGACTTTGAAGATAAAGATATTTCAAAGAAAGCAGAAATAGAGAACAAAGGTATAGAGGATGAAGTATTATCAGAAAGACCACAAGGGAGAAAACCATCTGAAACATCTCAGAATATAATACAAGATTCAGAATATGAAATTCAACCACAAGCTAAAAAGAGTTTTTCAACATTGTTTTTAGAAACTTTAAACAGAAAAAACGAATCCAGGTGAGTTATTGAGAAACTATGATTTGAGACATTTTTTCTTTCACATTTTATGAATAACTATATCTATGGATTCTAAATACTATTTTTAACTAGAAATGAATCTTAATTGACACTGATGTTAATTGGAATGATACCTAACTTGTAAAGAGAATGTTATTTCTTAAACACTAAATCCCCTAAAACCATTGTTTAGTAGGCACTAAAGTAGACAATTAGCTGAAATAAGTTTATTCAGCTAATCAATACTTACTAGTTCGTATGTTCTCAAAGAACGTATTATTTATAAATAGAATTATGTTTGGGTGCCTTTATTTCACTATTAAGGTTTTCAAATATTTTTTCTTTTTTCTGATTGTGTTAATAAAGGATAGTTGTAAAATGAATTTTAATCTGTTAATACTGGAAAACCATCTGTGGTTCTGCAGCTTCAAAACACTGATTCTTATCTGTGGCTGTACATTAGAGTTAGCTAGATATAAAGGCAGCTAGGGCGAGAACATGAGGATGTTCTATAGGATGGTCTATAGAATAAACTTCAGATTTGTCAGCTGGCATTTAAGGCCTTTATCCTGCTTAGTTAACTGTTTCTACCAACTTGGTCATACATATTTGCAGTTGTCCTTGCTTTGGCACACCTTTTTCCCTTGTCATATGCCAATCTCAATTTTCTTTTAAGGTCCATGCTAGACTTCTAGTTTTTTTTCCAAGTCCCAACTCCATTGTTTTTTAAATAGTTTCATGCCTTGCATTATAGTTTAACTATTTTATGTGTTTCTTTCTTAGTAGATTAAGACATAGGCTATTCTTTCTAGGAGTTTAGAGTTTTTTTGTATTTTCTGTTATATGTTAGGACAGTTTTATAAAAACATAATGAACGAATGAATGCATGAATGAAATGCCTCTTTTGTTCAGTCTTTGTTCTGTAGTTGAGATCTCTCTCTCTGTGGAATCTTTTATGTTATTTATGGATGTTGTCTTCACCATCTGATACAAATATGGTATACTTATGGGGTAATTATATCTACGTCCAAAATAATTATTTTTTAATGGTTTGTTTTTTTTTTTGGTGAACTAATGAGTAAAGTTGATTTTGTTCTTAATTGCTGCTCACTATTCTTAGTACTTTCTTGGCTTCATTGCTTTTGTTCATACTCTTGCCTCTGATTGTCTTCCTTACATTTCCTCATGACCATAACTTGTCCATCCTTGAAGATCCAACTCAAGTGCCACAAAGTCTTTTTTGATTTTTGCATCTAGCCAGAAGTCATCTTTCTCTAGTGTTGTCTTAGTCTATTTGAGCTGCTATAACAGACTACCGTAGACTGTGGCTTATAAACAACAGAAATTTATTTCTCATAGTTCTGGAGGCTGAGAAGTCCAAGATCAAGGCTCCAGTAGTTGCAGTATCTGGTGAGGTTTGCTTTCTGGTTCATAGATTGCTATCTTCTTTCTATAACCTCACACATGGCAGGAAGTGGCAAAGGGACTTTCTTGGGGCTCTTTTATAAGGACACTATTCCATTCATGATTATTCCATCTTGATGACCTGTTCATCTTCAAATGCTATCACATTGGGGATTATGTTTTAATGTATGAATTTTGGAGGGGTATGATCCTTTGAATAATTTTTTTTCTCTGAAAAGTTTCCCAGCTAATTGGAAGAGGTGCTGTTTAATCCCAGTGCACTTACTTTTTTAGATATATTCCATTTATTTCTATACCATGATTACATACTGAGATGTACATGAAAATGGTATGTGAATTATTCATACCCGGAATGATTTTTTCACATAATATAATTTATTAGTATTTTCCTAGATATTAGACTTGAAGATATCTCAGAAATAATCTTTCTTTAGATGTTGCAACATTGTGATTCATAAGAAATAAATGTTTGGTCATTTAGATGACTAAAATTAATTTCATATATATATTTGGTCCTTGGCCACAATTCATGGTTCACAATGCCCTGAATTCTTGGAATTTTCTAAGTGTTGATAGTGAAAACAAGCCTTTTGTTTTGTTAATGTGGTAACTTTAGAAAGCATTGGTAAGAATGGGGTCTAGTTGCCAATGGAAACTACCTTGTGATTAGTGTTGAAATTTTAGCCTTACCCCACACCTCCAAGGAGGGGAGGTTAAGTCCATTGCCAACGACCAGTGATTTAATCAATTACAACTATGTAAGGAAACCTCCATTAAAAACCCATGAGGGTGAGTTCTAAGAGCTTCCTGGTTGGTGAACACTTGGAGATGCAATGAGCCCGAAGTGCCTTCCCATATACCTTGCCCTGTACATCTCTTTTATCTGGCTGTTCCTCAGTGACATCCTTTTGCAATAAATGAGTGATCTAGTAACATGTTTTTCTGAGTTCTGTGAGTGGTTGAAATTAATCAAACCCAAGGAAGAGGTTGTAGGAACCTCTCATTTATAGCTAGTTGATCAGAAGTGTAGGTAGCAGTTTGGACTTGCAGTTGACATTTTGACTTGGAGGGGGTCGTTAAGAAACTTCAGTGTATGGCTTGTCTGTCAGAAGTGTATGTAGTGTGGGCTGTAGTTGACACCTGAAAGGTATTTGGGTGTATAGGGGTTCTTGTAGGATTGAACCCTTAACCTATGCCATCTCATGCTGTCTTGGATAGATAGTGCCAGAATTGAGCTGAATTCTCAGATATATTATTGGTGGTATCTGAAAAATTGTTTGTTGGTATAGGAGGACCCCATACCACATTGGAATTGGGTCTGGAAAACCAGTTTAGATAAGGAATCTAAAGAGACATTTGTACAAACATATATAATTTAACATATGTAATAATAGCATGCATTTTTGGACTGTCATTCAATGTATCTTGACTATATTCACACATCTTTGGGTTTTGTCTTTTATTTTACCACACCTAAGAATATGTTACTGGGAGAAACCTGGTTCTTCTTGCTGACACAGTAAAGAATTACGGATCAGTAAGCCAGTTAGCATCCAGGCAAAGTTTATTAGTGCTAAGTTCTGGTGGGAAAGGAAAAGCAAGGGTGGCAAGAGCAGGGTGACCAGAGGCCAGGTGATGAGCACCCAGGTGGCCAGAGGCTAGGTTGCCAAAAAAGAGAGTCCCTTTAGTACAGGTGAACAGAGGTCCCCTGTGTGGCAAAGGGGCCACGAAGCAGAGAGAGAGAGAGAGAGAGAGAGACATGGAGAGAGACTTTGTTCTGAGGACTTACATAGTTGGCAGGGTGAGGGCGTTACATATTGCTTGACTGGTAAAGGTGGTGCCAGCTTTCCTAGGGAGACAAGACTAACCAAACAGGTATGTGTGGGGGCCTATTAGCCCAAATCCCTATCTTACTCCAGACTGTATTTGTTCATTTTGCATACGTGACTGGAGGCAGGCAGCTAACCAAAGCTTTATGGGTTTTTTTTGTTTGGTTGTTTTTTTTAGATACTATAGACCCCTTCCTCTTTCCACCTTCTAGGCCTTGGAATAAATACACAGTCTCAAGGTTTTCCTTTTCCCAGCTAGTGGAGATAATACATAGAGACTTTCAAGGGCTCCACCCCACTTCTGCACTATCATTTTTGCTTGTTGTTCAGAATGCCTGGCAGCCTTATTGGTCCAGGCTCAGGACAACTAGGTGAATGGGTGAGATATGTCTTCCTTGGCTTTTGGCCCCCTGTATTGTTCTTTGTTAGGTTGTAATGGTGAGGGCCCTGCCTTTATTTACCCTCTGGATGCTCGTTCCTAGCTGCTACGTAAGTGCTAAAAGGCATTACCTGGCAACCAGGACGATAGCTGATAGTCACTGGCTGATAGCTTCTGGCAAGCAACAGCAGCATAGTCTCAGAGTTCTTCTATCCTATTTCCTGTGTCAGATATGTTTATTGATTTTTAGGGAGAGGAAAGGGAGGGAGAAAGAGAGAAAAGGAAACATTGAACAGTTGCCTCTCATATGCACCCTGACCAGGGATTGAACTTGCAACCTGTACGCCTTGGCTGGAGATCAAACCCACAGACTTTTTGGTGCACTGGCCCATACCCAACCAACTGAACCATCCAACCAGGCTGGGTTTCAATTTTTTAATAAATAAGCAATGGGTGGGATCATCAAATTAGTTGATTTTAGGCTTTCTTCGAGCTCTAAATTTCTGTGACCCCCATTAGTGTTATAAATTATTGTGATCAGATTATAGACATATAAAAGGAAGGAAGGCCTTTTAAGGGTAAGGGGAAATCGAGGAGATGTGAACTTCTATTTAAAAGATAGTTGATTTTGCCCTGGCTGTTGTGGCTCAGTGGATTGAGTGCCAGCCTGCGAACAAAGGATTGCTGGTTTGATTCCCAGTCAGGGCACATGCCTGGGTTGTAGGCTGGGTCAGAGAGGCAACCACATGTTGTTTCTCTCCCTCTCTTTCTTCTTCCTTTCCCCTCTCTCTAAAAATAAATAAAATCTTTTTAAAAAGATAGTAGATTTTATTTACTATATGGATTATTTTCTTCACTAGGCAAAAGTAAGAGCCTTATTTTTTTTGAGCTATTATTTATTGTAACATTTTTTTTAGTCCTGTTGTTAGGTATATAGCAGCTACTCCACCTCACTCATCTCCTGCAAATGATATGAATGTAGAAGATGAATTTATAATTGATGAATCAGATAATTTCGCCAGTCGTTCTTGGATTACTATACCAAGAAAGGCTGTTCCTTCAAAACAATGTACAGTATCCCGTACTGAGAGCACTGCACTCTTTCAAAGTAAGAAGTCAAGAGAAAAACATCACAGTGTAACACCTGTGACTTTGACAAATGACAAACATTCTGGTAAAGGTCACCCAGTAGAGAACTCTCAGCCCTCTGAACAAAGAAAACTGGGTAAGAATTGTATTTCGTCAGATGAAATGGAAAATAATTGTAGATCTACAAAAAATGGAATGTATTCTAAGAATGCAAAAAAATCATCTGCAAACAAAAGGACTATAAAACAAAAACAGAAAAGAAAAGTTAAGGCCACTGTATTTGAAGAACAGGTTGATATGGAACAAGCTAAAGATAAAAATACAAATATGTCACACATTGCTCGAGACAAGTCGCAAAGAAATTCAGACAGAAATATGGAAGCATGTGAAGAGAAGAGAAATGTTCGTATTTTTAAAAAACAGATGCCACCTGTGGGTAAGTATTTATATTAAATATTAACTGCTAACATTATTCTACTACTTTATTATTATCTTTTTTTACCTTATGTTTTTTAATATTCCTATTTAGCTTTGGGTAGTAGGCAAAGAAAGACTAAATCTGTAAAGAGCCTCAAAATCCTGTAGGCTTTTTCTAGAATTTATTTACATGTAATACAATTCCAAGTTGCTTGATTTTTGTGTAACTTTTAACATGGTAAGCATATATAAAGAGAGAAGTGAGAGAGAAAGGTGAGTAAAGCAGGTAGTAACAGGAACTCAAAGAAGACAGCATATATTCTTGAGGTTTATTTAAGTATAAATTGTGGGGTGGGGAACCCAGGATGGCCCTGGTTGATGCGGCTCAGCTGGTTCAAGTGTCATCCGAGCATAACTGAAAGGTTGTGGGTTTGATTCCTGTCATGGCACATGCCTAGGTTGCGGTCTGGTCCCTGGTGTGGGCACATGTGGGGGACAGCCAATCAACGTTTCTCTCTCACATCAGTGTTTCTCCCTTTCCCTTCTTCTCTCCATTCATCTTTCTAAAAAAGAAGCAATGAAAAAGTGTCTTTGGGTGAGAATAAAGGAAGAAAACCAAAACCCCAGGATGGTGTGGGACTATTTCTTACAGGATAGAAATTCATACTCTTCTATTCCATCATTTACTTGTTTATCTCACAGACATTAAAGGCTAAACAAAGATAAAATAACAAAGATTACTAAGACAATTTTTATCATTAAAAAAGATCAGTCTGGTGGGGTCTCTAACCAACGAACAGATACACATATATTGACAGGATGATAATGGAAGCACTGAGAACAATCATCTAATATCTCAATAGATCTTTGTATCTTGGGACACTATGTCATTTATCATACAAATTGGGACACTTGAGCTTGAGAGAGGATGTCAAGGACCGTAAGCATAAAACTAGTATTGTTTTAGATAAACCTGGAGTATGGCTGCCCTCCTTATGTCAGTATGGTATAAGTGATTGAGGTTTGTGATGTGACACTGTCATGAAGAAGAGATCAATTTTATGTTCCTTGTTCTACTGTTTAAGTAATAGAAAAGGTAGTTATTCTTATAGAAAGAATTTTATCCAGAATATTAGAGGAATAGAAAGCACTTATCAAATGTATTCAATACTTTATATGTATGTAATATAATTTAGTCCTTCTTGACAATTCTGTAAGGTAGGAGATAACATTCAAAGGAGGTTAAAAAATGCTGGCCAATGATCTGTCTCATTCTATCATTCTAGAACGTGTAGTTTTTTTCAGCTCTATCATGAAGTCTTAAAATAACTGAAAACGTTTTTTGATGCTCAAATTGGAAAAACTATTAGCCAACCAGAAAACTCTCTTGACTAGAACTGTATAGGTGCCTGAACATTCTAGATGATTATACTATATTGCTGATTTAGAGGGGAGAAGGGTCATGTTAAGGCACAATATTTAAGCTAGTTTTTATAAAAACAAACTCTAATATAGTTATTACTTAATTACTCATTATTTTAGCTTTCTTTTTATATATTCTATAACACAGATTTATATCCAGAAATAATAGTTGTCAGATTTCAATTTTATCTGTGTGTGCCTATGTGTATTTGAAAAATTCTGCTTAAAATGGAAAAAAGCAACCATTTCTATTTTGTGGGCCTCTTTTTAAAATGTTAGGTGCCATATTTTTATTGGAATTGTTCTCAGTTTTTTGCTTCTTTCAGTTTCTAATTAGCAGCTGACCATTTAAAGAAAATACAACATAAACAATCTGACTAAACTGAGAAGGATAGTTACATTACAAGAAAGTTTTTTTCCTACTAGTTCCTTAAGTAGAATATGAATTCACAAAATTTGTAGCCTCAAAATTTTGATTTATCCATAATTTCTTAGGAAGAAGCATATCAAGAAAGTATACTGGATGGATACTGTCTTGAATTATTAATATTAAACATTTATTGAGTATGTTCTATGTTTTTGTACATTAACTTTCATATATAATAAATTTTTATCTAGATTGGTTAGGGGATATAATATTAAGATTAATTATCATACCAATGATAATTTTCTATTGCTTTCATAACAAATTATTACATATGTAGTAGCTCAAAACAGCACGCTTTTTTTATTTTGCAATTTCGTGGGTTAGAAGTTTGAAGTGGATCTCACTGGGCTAAAATCAAGATGTTGACATAGTTCAATTACTTTTGAATGGTTCTGGGAGAGACTGCCTTTTTTAGCTTCTTGAGGTCACCTATGTTCCTTCAGTCATGGCTCCCCTCTTGCATCTTCAAAACCAGCAATGCTAGCTAGCCTTCTCACATTTCAAATTTCAGTTACTTCTTTTTCCATCATCCTATCTCTTTCACTGACTGCTACTTTTAAGGACACATGTAATGAAATTGGATCATTCTGAATAATTTAAGGTTTATAACCTTAATCATATTTGCAGAGTCTCTTGACATGTAAGGTAGCATTTTCACAGATTTTTATGGATTAAGATGAGTACATCTTTGGGAGGCCATTATGTAGCCAACTATGCCACTTTTCAAAGACAAATATGAAGATAATTTAATTCCAAAGATATTTTTATTCTGAAGATAATTTGTCTTTAATTCAAAAGGCACTTGAAAAATTGGTAATGCCTAAACTGATAAGTTGCATTGAACCAGTTGATTTTTCTACTTTTGATGTCTCACAGGCTTCTCAGACTGATTATTGCAAAAATTTCTCCAGACTTGCTTGTCCTCTAGTTTTCATGTCTTCATAAATAGAACTGTAATAAATCTACTAGCTCAAGAAAGAAACCAGATCATCTTCAACTCTTTCGTTTACCTAGCAATCCATATGAAGTCAGTAAGTCTTTGACTTCCTCCTAAGTAGTTTTCATATCTGTTACTTCTCTCCACTCTTTCTGCTCGTCTCTTTAGCCAATCTAAAGTTACCAGTAATTTATTTCTAGATTGTTGTAGCAGTTTATAGACACTGGCTTCTCTCTACCACTTCAGATTCATCTCCTGGGTTACTGTATAATGAATTTCTTTCAGTCCCCTAAACAGACCACTTTCTCACCTGTGGGCAATTTAATATGTTGTTCCTTTTGCCTAGAAATTTTTTTCTAAATGTACCGCTTCCACATCAAGCATTGTACTCAGGTTAAATATCACTTCACTCAATTATTACCCCACCCTGATATATTCCTGTACATACTCCAAGCAACACTTTTTATTACTTAATTTATTATTATAATTATTATTTTAATCCTCACTGAAGGACATTTTCTTACTGCTTTTAGAAAAAGGAAGGGAGAGAGAGAAACATTGATGCAAGAGAGAAGCATCAATTGGCTACCTCCTGTATGTGCCCTGGCCGGGGATTGCATGTGTCTGGACCCGGGAACCTGCAGTCTAGGCCTGTATCTGGAGTAGGAACTGACCCTGCAACCTTTTGGTTACAGGATGATGCTCCTCCATCCAACTGAGCCACACCATCCAGGGCACCCTTTTTATTTTATCAAACACAATTAGTTGATGAATTTCTGTATTTTCTTCTAGGGTCTAAAGTGATAGTTCTATGAGAAAAAGAATTATATTTCTCCCATTTTTAAAATATCCCCAAATCTTAAACTTAGCAGCTATCGTGTCTGTGGGTCATTGGAATATATAGTCATTAGTGACAGAAGTATTGTTTATTTGGATGAATAATTTTGCTGTGTTTATTAAAATATGACTCACTTTCAGAATCCTACTTCTTTACATGTAAATATGTAAAATATTCTGCAGTAGTAAAAGTTTATCACTTATAAGTCACTTCTCTCCATTTTTAAAAAAGATTTTATTTATTTACTTTTAGAGGGAGGGGAAAGGAAGGAGAGAGAGAGGGAAAGAAACATGGAGAGAGAGAAACATCAAATAGTTGCCTCTTGTAAGTGCCACATCTTGGACTGAATCTGCAAGCCAGGCATGTGTCCTGACTGGGAATTGAACAATGACCGTTCTGTTTGTGGGACGATCGATGCCCAACCAACTGAGCCATACCAGTCAAGGCACAAGTCCCCTATGTATGACATGTCCCCTCAGTTTTAAGTTAACACTCTTCACATTACCAACTGTTCATATATCAGGTGTATTTCTGTATGTGCTCTTGTTTATTAGTTTTCTAAATACTTTGTCTTTCACTTTCAGTGTTTCTCGATCTTGAACTAGTTTCTGAAATGACACTGTTAAGTGGTTTGGTTTTGACTTTGTATATTCTTTTTCTGTATCATTGTCAAAATCAGTCTTTTTTAAATATTATACTTTATTGATTATGCCATTACAGTTGTCTAGATTTTCCCCCCTTTGCCACTCTCTACCCAGCATTCCCCAGTCCCTCAGGCAGTCCTCCCAATCTGGCCACCATCAAAACAATTTCTGTATCCCTGATTCTGTCTCTGTTCTTGTTTGCTTATTTTTTTTTTTAGATTTAACTGTTTGTACATATCTGTTGTTTTGCTATTTTATTGTTCATAGTTTTGATCTTCTTTTTCTTAAATAAGGCCCTTTAACATTTCATATAATAAAGGGCTCGGCTCCTTTAATTTTTTCTTGTCTGGGAAGCACTTTATCTGCACTTTGATTCTAAATGATATCTTTCCTGGGGAGAGAAATCTTGGCTGTAGGTCTCTGCTTCTTGTGACTTGGAACATTTCTTGACAGTCCCTTCTAGCCTGCAGAATTTCTTTTGAGAAGTCAGATGACAGTCTTTTGGGAACTCCCCTTTGGTAACTAACTTCTTTTCTCTTGCTGCTTGTAAGATTCTCTTTATGTTTAACCTTTCACATTTTAATTATGATGTGTCTTGGAGTGGGCCTCTTTGCATCCATCTTGTTTGGGACTCTTGGTGCTTACTGGACTCGTGCATGTCTATATCCTTCACCAAATTAGGGAAGTTTTCTTTCATTATTTTTTCAAATAGATTTGCTGTTTTTTGCTCTTTCTCCTCTCCTTCTGGCACCCCTATCATGTGAATGTTGGACCTCTTGAAATTGTCCCAGAGCTGTTTATACAATCCTCACTTTTTTTGATTCTTCTTTCTTTCTTGTTGTTCTGATTGGTTGTTTTTTGCTTCCTTATGTTCCAAAATCATTGATTTGATTCTTGGCTTCTTCCACTCTACTATTATTTCCCTGTAAATTGTTCTTTATTTCAATAGTTTTAAAAACTTCATTGTTTTTAAAATATTTTATTTATTTATTTTTAGAGAGAGGGGAAGGATAAAGAGTGGGAGAGAAACATCAATGTGTGGATGCCTTTCATGTGTCTCATACTGGGGATCTGGCCTGCAACCCAGGCATGTGCCCTGACTGGGAATTGAACCAGTGACCCTTTGCTTCACAGGCCTGTGCTCAATCCACTGAGCTACACCAGCCAGGGATGTATCCTTCATTTTTGACTGGATCTTTTTTATGTTGTTGAGGTCCTAAGTTCTTTAAGCATCCTTATAACCAGTAGTTTGAATTCTACATCTGCTAGATTGCTTATCTCTGTTTTGTGTAGCTCTTTTTTTGGAGTTTTGATCTGTTCCTTCATCTTGAAGCATGTTTCTTTGTGTCCTTATTGGCAGCCTCCCTATGTTTGTTTCTATGTATTAGGTGGACTGCTTTGACTCTGCTGTCTTGGTAGTGTAGCCTAATGTAGTAGCCTTGATTGCTGTTGGCAGGTCAATGGGAGGGATTTACTCAGGCCAGTCAGCTGCAAGGACAGACTGTGACTGCTTATTGTCAACCTTTGCCCTTTGTGGAGGATCAGTTGTGCAGGGTCGGCGTGGTGGTGCACTGACGTCATCTGTAGCTGTCCATTAGGTGCACTGTTCCTGGGGTTTCCCTGGTGATACAGGCCAAGATCAGTTCTCATGTGTGTTTTGCCAGGAGCCACCCTGCCTGAGTTACAAAGCAATCCGAATGGCTGTGCTGGGCTTGGAGGCCCCAAGCAAAGCCAAGCTGTGAATGTAGGCTGGCTACTGCTAGTGCCAGGCCTGGGGTTCACTGAGGCCAGCTGTTGCTTGTTTGAGACGATTTAGTAAGTTATGAAGCATGAGCCAGAACCAGCATTCATGTGGAAAAACAGCTTAGGTGAGCCTGTTAAGTTGGGTGGGGTAGAGTCTCTGGGTGTCTCGAAGGCAGGTCAAACAGTGATAGCCAGGTTGATGGAGATTTCTGGCTTGTGAGAGGATGGTTTAGAAAGGGGACAATGGCCTCTCTTCTCCTTAATGCCAGATGCTTCAGTTTCTCCCTGTATATCACTGGTGCCTTTCAAGCTGCTACCCTAGTGCTGGATCTCAGAGGGAGTGAGTGTGAGTCTGTGTGTGGGTTCTTTAAGAGGAACTGCTTGGAGCTCTAGCAGTTTTTTCCGTTCATTCAGTCCCCACTGGTTTTTATATAGGGACCTATCTTCTTAGCACTGAAACCCTGGGCTGAGGCACCTGGCGTAGAGCTGGGACTCCGCTCCTGAGATATCTTTCCTGAATTTTTATCCATCACAAGTGGGTGAAGGACCAGCCCATTCCATGTTTGCACCCCTTCTACCAGTCTGGGTGGATGTGGTTTCTTTAATTCCATAGTTGTCAGACTTTTCCATTCACCTTGATTTGTGATACATCTGAGTGATTGTTGTTCTACATTTTAGTTGTAATTCTGATGTGGTTTGTGCAGAGAGGTGAACCATGTCTGCCTATGCTGCCATTTTGACGGGAAGTTGAAGTTTTATCCAAATAAATCTTTAATGATAGCTTTTCCCCCTCAGATTCTTTTCTCCTCAGTCATTGTTTATACTGATTTTTTTTTTTCTTTTAGGTTGTTTCATGAACATGGGCAATATTTTCTGTCGTCACAAGCACCTTTCATTTGTTAGAATAATTTCTGAGGATACTTTGACAAGAATAAGAGAAGGAAAAAATGGGAGGGAAATAGAAGAAAAGGAGTTGGAGAAGAAAGATGAGGGTAGAGAAGTCATGTGCAGGAAAATGAAGTTCATCTATGAGGATTCTTGCAGTTGTACGAATAATTTCTTAAACTACAAATAAGTGCCAACTATGTTGACAGTTCTGTTATCTTTGTAGTTTCGTAAATTGACCCTTTATTATTTTCTACTTCCACTCCCTGAAAGATCTTTACTGTTGAGTTTTTATATTGTATGTGGTGACTCTTCCAGGATCTCCTTTTGTCGTCACTTTCAGAGTACTGGTTGATACTATTATCATGAACAATATCCGTAAAGTAGATTCTCTCCTTTTTCATAAACTTTTTGTGCATTCAGTATCAGGCTAGTATTTTTCTTTTACTACTTTTATAAGCGGAGTCATAGTCTTTAGCCAAAATTTAAAGAACTGCCAAATTCTGTAACTTAAAAAATAGAATCAGAGTGATGTTGAGTAAGATACAACAATAATTTGGCATGATTTGGCTTATTTTCTCCTGTTTCTCTCTACTCCCTCTATAAGTTTAACAAGGAGAATGACTGACTCTCTTAGAGTAGTACTTTCAAACTTGGATGTGCATTTGAATTCCCTTGTGGATCTTATTAAAATATTGATTAATAAACTGATGTAGTAGGTTTGGGATGGATCCAAAATTCTGTATTTCTAAATAATGTCTCCCAGGCAATTCTGGTATAGATAGTTTGTACCCATACTTTGAGTATCAAAAACTTAGATAAGTATCTTAGGAAGCTCATGCTGGGTAACACTTCTGCCAATTTCATTGCCTAGGGAAACATTTGCTTAGTGAAACACTGGCTTCAATCTGAATTCATTATTTAATGGCTTATTTATTGAGATACTATGTGCTAAACACACTGTTAAATGCTGTACATAGTAAGAATGGCTAAGATGCAGTTTTCATTCTAGCCTAACAGAATACTAGGTGAATTCTGAAACTGTAATATTCTGGTTCACCTCCTTATTTCTTAGTTTGATTTTCTTCTGTCTTTATTGATTACTTTTCCTCATTCACTTAAGAATTTTTGTGACTTTCCATATTCCCCAAATTTAATAGTTTGTTTTTTTGTACTTTCTTTACATTCAAACCTTGAGAAAAATATCCCTTTGCATTAGATATCATCTCTGTTTATTTCCCCCAAATTTTCTTTTTAGTGATAAGAAAGTCACATTGGTTTTCTGTTTTCAGATTTCAACTCCTATTTTTTTTATTTTGCCCATTTTTAATTTTTAAGTTTATTTTTATTATATTTTTCCACTACCATATATCCCCTTTATTTATTTATTTTTTTAATCATTTTTATTGTTGTTAGAATACAGTTGTCTCTATTTTCCCACCACCACTTTCCCTCACCCCACCTACTCCCACCCTCAATCCTACCCTGCTTTGGCTTTGTCCATGGGTCATTTATACATGTTTCTTAACCCTTCCCCTTCTTTCCCCCATTATCTCCCTCTGCTCCCCTCTGGTTACTGTCAGATTTTTCTTTATTTCAATGTCTCTGGTTATATTTTGCTTGCTTGCTTGTTTTGTTGACTAGTTTCCACTTATAGATGAGATTATATGGTATTTCTTTTTCATCACCTGGCTTACTTTATTTAGCATAATGCTCTCCAGGTCTTTTCTTTTTATTCTGTTGTGTAATAACTATTTATGTGGTTATATGCATTGCCTGCTCTATTGGTCTTACAAACTTGTATGGAGTTCACTTACTCTACGTGTTTTATTTGATAGGATTTTAATTCCTTCTGTGGTCTCTATAGTAATCTTTGTCTGCGATGCTTAATAAATGCTAGTTTTGTAATTAATTTGATGGTCAAGAAAATTATCCATTTTGTCAACTAACGTCTAATGTTTTAAACCTACTTCTGAAGAAACTGAAATTCTCTCATTTTAAATGCATTTTGGTGGTTTGCCTAGGTCAGGGGCAATATTTATATTAAAGAAGCCTGTTTTCTCTGATTTCCCTCTCTTCTCGGTTGTTAGTCACAAAAATAAAGGTAGAATTTATCTGTTCCTTCTGTTAGATTTCTTTTTTACTCATTTGCCTGTTGTAGTAAAATGAAATTACTATTGATGTCAAATGTTTTCATTTATTTCTATAGTTTGCTATATTGTTTCTTTTCATTGTTTTGTCTTTTAAATTCTGTTCACAGTCTTTCTTTAATATATGAAAGATATCTTTATTGAAAATTCATTTCAAATCTCCTCTTCCAAAAAATTAATTGATAGAAATCATGAATTATTTCAAAACAGAAAAGCAGTAGTTACTTTTTTTCAGGTAGGACATTGGTAAGCAGTGGGAAGGAACCATATCTTGTATTTTTCCTTTTCCAAATATACTTAACTTTTTTGTTTCAGGAGTATATGTTACTTATCAAGCAGTGTGAAAAGTTTGCATTTAACTGACAGAAAGTTAGAGATCCTATGGCAAAATGTAACTTTTAAAAAATAAAAATGAAAAAAAGCCCACAGAATAAATTTAAGAAGTTTCTATAATCGAAAGTTTTAAAACAAAAAAATCTGTTCTATTCTGAAAACAGTTTGGTTCAGTAGATTATGAATTGTTTTTATGGTTTTCTTTAATTTAGGAAGTAAGAAAAGTCACACAAATGTTTCTCATACAGCAAATCGGGGAAAAAATAGGGAATGTGAAAAGAAGGATTTTTCAAGTGGGTCAAAGAAGAACAGTCTTATACCTGAAGAAGTGACTTTGACTGTCACAAGAAGTCATAGAATTTCCAGGCGTCCATCTAGTTGGTGGATGGTAAAATCAGAGCAGAGTAAGTATTTTTTATTTAAATTATGTTCATAAGGAACTCCCCCAAAATTATTCTGTAAGAGGTTTAATGTTGAGTTGTATATACTGTGATTCTCCAAAGGCAATCTTCTTTTTTATAGATTTTATTTATTTATTTTTAGAGAGAAGGGAGTGAGGGAGAAAGAGACAGAGAAAATTATTGATATGAGAAAGAAATATTGATTGGTTGGCTCTCAAATGAGTCCCATCCAGGGACTGAACCAGTAACTCAGGCATGTTCCCTGACTGGGAATTGAACCGGAAACCTTTTGCTTTGTGGGAGGATGCCCAATCAAATAAGCCACACTGGTCAGGGTCAGAAAAAATCTGTTGACAAAGTTCATTAATGGAAATATTAAATCAGTTAATTATAAAGATATTCATTGAGGCTTTATTTTACATGTAAAGTATTCTAGATATAGGGTACAACTATGGAAAAGCAAAGCAAAAACCAAAAAATTTCTTGCTTTCTGTGGTCTTATATTCTCGTATGGGGAAAATCAACAATATAGATAGTAATTCATGAATTGATAGGGTAATAAAAAGAAATAAAGCAGATCAAGAATAGAGATGGGAAATAGATGGTAGGTATGGGGGTAGGTAAGAGGATAGAGCAGAATACTTTTTCCTAAATGGTAGTGATGAGAGTTCATTATAATCTTTTAGATCACATACTTGAAAAAAAGTGAAAGAGGGAACCATGAAAATAATTTAAGGTGAAGTATTCCAGACCAAGGGAACAGTATTTGTGTAGATGCTGATGGGGCATGCTTGGCATGTTTGAGCAATGTGAAGAAGGCCGAGAAGATTAAGCCCTCTTGAGCAAAGAAGACTAAGCTAGGGCAAATGAAGTCAGTGGGGCAGGCTATGGTAAAGTTTAGGTAAAGTATATTGGAAGCTACTGGGAGATTTTAAGCAGTCAAGTGATGTGATTGACTCATCTTTTAAAATTATTGTTGCTATGTAGAGAAGAAACTAGGACTGCAAAAATGGAAGCATGGGCATTAGATTGTAGGAAAGAAGAAATGAAAAGTGGTTGGATTCGTATCTTTTGAAAGTAACTTATAGGAAGTATGAAAGATTAGAGTTAGAAGGAAGAATCTGTGATGACTCAGGGGTTTTTTTTTTTTATCCTGAACTAGAGAAGAATGGAACTCTGTTATTTACTGAGATGAGGAAAGGTATGAGAGAAGCAGATTTGAGAAGGATGTAAAGATTTCAGGTTATAATATATTTATATATCAAAGTAGATATATTGAGGAGATACTCTGATAAATGAGTCTAAAGTTAGGCGGAAGGATCTATATGACATACATTTAATAAGTTATTTATATATAGATGGTATTTACAACTTTGAGGTTGCTTGAAATCCTCTAGTAATATATTATACCTAGCAAAGAAAGAAAGCCAAAGATTGAGTCCTGGGAGAGTTCAGTGTTAGGAGTCAGGAAGGGGAAGGAAGGTCTATCAAATGATACTGAAAATAAGCAATTAGTGAGATTAAAGGAAAATGAGAATTTAGTTATGGAAGTGAAGTAATGGAATCATTAAAGGGTTGAGTGATGAGCTGTTTTAAATACTGCTCATAGCCTGCATTAGATGAGAGTTAAGAATCGACAGAATGGTTTTGGCAACATGGAGGTTGTTGGTTACCTTGATAAAGTGGGATTTTGTGGAATGATGAGGCTTTTGTGGAAGCCTGATTGGAGTGGGATTCAAGAGAGAGTAGGAGGTTAAGGAAGGAAAGACAATTAAATAAAGGGTAATAAACGGTAGATGTGGGGTCAAGGGAAGTTTCATATATATATGAATGATACCAGCTTATGTACTTCTTCAAAATGATCTTGTAGAAAAGTAGAGGATAAATACAGTATCACAGTCCAAGGTGATCTAGTGCACACTACAAGGGTTATTCTTAGGAGCGGGGACAGTATATCATGTAAAAGTAGAGAGGCAGAGTATATGGGGACACATGAAAGTAGGTTGGTAGAGTTGGTGGTGGGAAGATGTCCTCTTCTGACCATATTTGGTCAGTGTTTCTCAGTGAAACGGTAAGCAAGGACATCAGGTGAAAGTGGAAGTGGAAAAGGTAATAATGGAATTTTTAGGATTCCTTACAGGGAAAGGATACAAAGCAAAATCAGAGAAGGTTTAGGCAAAGTCAGAAGGAAATCCAGTTTGAGCTTCCCAGAATCCTCTCTCAGTGGATATATATACTCATGTACAGGAGACATCTCCTCCAGCAGTCAGTTATGGCAGATGTGCGAAATGCTATTCATTAGAGATTGGGAAGGGAATTAGAGATTGAGTACCCAAGGTTTTCTGGGGGCGTAGTCACCTAGGTACCCTTTGCCTAGTAATAGTAGAATTCTAGGCTTCCGGAAGGAAAGCAAGTATTTTGCCTAAACCATATGTTTTGAACAGTTTTTTAGGTACATTAACAATACTAGTCAATGAGGAAATAAAGGGAACTCTTCTGAAATTCAAATTCCAACATGTTGGCCAAGAACTTATTTTGCAAGCAGGCCTTCCTAAGGATAAGATTCTTATGCCTGGTATGCCAACTTTTTTCTGTGCATTATAAAACATTTTTTGTTTTGGGAAAAAAACTTTATTTTAAAGAAGGTGATCATATAAAGATTGGTACATGACAAGGTAACATTTACATATGCAGAAACATGATGGTGGGGCATTTAGATCAATAAGGGAGAGACTAGTATAAATATGGCACTACATCTGTGAGGCCTTGTTGCTGTGAATTTTTAAGTCATTGGGACCCTTGATTAATGAGAGCAAGAAATATTCTGCTGCAGCCTTCTTTGGATTTTGGAGTTATCTGAGTTCAAATTATGATTCCTCCACTTTGGGTAGATTACTTGTTCAGTTTCTCACTCACTCTGAAACCAGTGATTGACAGTACTTCTACCTCATTAAGTTGTTACAAAGATTAAATGACATATAGTTAGTATTAAAATGCTAACTACTACTGTTACTGCTTTGGAGAACTCACCTTTCTGCTTCAGGTTGCCTGAAACTGTACTATGATAAATCTGAGTGTGTACATATGTGGGTAGATAAAAATCCTATAGAGCTTGCATAAGTGCTCTAGAACTCTGAAACTTACCAGAAAAGACTTATGTAGCTGTCCTGAAACAGACGTTGGGTTTCTGATCAAGCAGGGTCCAAAGAGTAGAGGAATAGATCATATAGTTCAAACTTCTTCATCTGGTTGAAGAAGAAATTAAGTCTTAAGTCCAGAAAAAGCAGTATGACTTACCCTTAAAGTCATAGACTTTTGTGCTAGAAGTGGAAAACATTAGAACCTATGTGTTCTGACTCTTGGTTTCTTGCTTATTTCACTAGTCAAGCAACCAAGCTGCTTGTAGTGTAGAAACATTGAGTGCCCACTGTGAGGCAGGAATGGTGTTAGGCAGTGCCAGGACTAGGATCAGGCAAGTGAGAAACTTAGAATGGGAAATTTAAGGAGGCACTTGGTGTCAGGGTAGAATGAATCAGGGTAGGTATTTGCATGACTGAGAGGGAGCACCTTCTTAATTTTTCCACTTTAGTTAACAATATTTTTTACGTATGTTGAGTACTTTTTAAGGTCTACTAGAGAGTAGACCTTAAAATGATTACCAGAGGGTAATCATTTCACAAATTGTTATGTTGTGTACATTAAATTTATACAATGTTATATATCAATTATAACTCAATAAAATTGGAGGAAAAATAATTTTTTTCAGCGTAGGCTACTCTTATTTTACCAGGCTTGCCAATAGCGTTAGGCGCTGGGAATGTAAAGATAGGTAAAAGACAAAAATCTTGGTTTCAAGGAATTGTCAATCTGCTGGAGAGATAAGTACATTATCAGATTGTTGAGAGTTTACCTAATTTAGGCTTGGAAATTAGGGAAAGAGTCTGGGAGGATAAATTAGGAGTTGTTGAAGTGATTGGATGAAGTGAGGAGGAAGGATGGAATGTTTCAAGCATGTACAGAGATCAGAAGCTCAGAGCTTGACCTTTTAAGAAATTATTTTATCAGAATTATCTGGAGGGATTGTTAAAACACAAATTATGGGTCCAACTCTTGAGAATTTCTGATTTAGTACTTTAAGGGGAGGCCTAAGAATTTGCATTTCAAACAAATTTCCCAGGAAGTGCTGATCCTACTGGTTTAGGAACGACCCTTTAAAAATCATGCAAAAAAAGTTCAGGATCTCTGGCTTTTTGTTTGTTTGGAGGGGAGTGTTGAAAATTGTGGTTAATGAACTAAGCACTCTGGATGTAGAAAAAAGTTAGTATTGAAAATATTTGGATTTAATTCTTAAGCTATAGATAATCACTAAAAGATTTTAAGCAGGGTTGTAATGATCTTAACTTGTGTTTTCCAAGGATGTCTTGAATCACTGTGAGGAATGGACTAAAGAATAGGAGATTAATTAAGAGGCTATTTTAATAATCCAGATAAGAAATGATGAGAGTCCCTGCTACTGACAGGCAAGAGAGCTTGAGAGAGGCAGATTTGAGGTATTAAGAAAGAACTGAGAGGGTTTAGGGATGGATTGTGAATAGCGGCAGGAGTCTTGGGTGACTAGGATTTCTGATTTAGGGTAGATAGTTGTACTTTTCATTAATATAGGAATTAAAACCAGAAGGGCAGACTTGGGGAGAGAGGTAGGTAAAGATACCAGCATATATATAGTAATTAATAGGTCCCTCAAAGAAAGTACAGAGTGAGAAGCTGAAGCTGGAACCTTGGGGAATACCAGTATCTTAAGGGTGGATAGAAGAGTAGTGGGCAGAGCCAGAGAAGATAAACTGAAAGAGTTTCATGCATGAATCATAAAATGGAAGAACTGCCTGATTTATTATTTTAATTTGAAAACAAATGTAGTCTATGAGATTGGTGTGTGTGTGTGTGTGTGTGTGTGTGTGTGTGTTTATATGTAAATATAAGTAATATTACTATTTTTTAAAAATTATTATTCAAGTATAGTTTTCTGTCTTATACTCCCATCCCAGCCCCCGCCCCCCAGTGCTCCCTACCTCCCTCCCATTTCCACCCGCACTTACTTTTTGTCCACGTGTCCTTTATACTTGTTCCTGTAAATCTTTCCCCTTTTCTTCTGAAATTCCCTCCTCTCTCTCCTCTGGTCCCTGTCAGCCTGTTCTCTATTTCAGTGTCTTTGGTTATATTTTGCTTGCTTGTTGTTCTGTTGTTTAGGTTCCTGTTAATATTAGTATTTCAATAAGCCACATTATCTGGATAAATTTTATGCTAACTTTAAGTTATCATTGATTCTTTTAGGCCTTGTTTATAGCAATTCTTCAGTAAGAAATGAATTGTCAGTACATAACAACGGTGGGCAAAAACCTGCTGAAAAATCAAATCAATCATCTAAGAATATTGGGAAAAAACCTGTTCCATTTAAAGGGAAGAAGAGAGCTAATTCAGGCCACTCAAGAGCACAGAAGATTTTAAATGCAAAAGTTTCTAGAGGAATTATTGACCATGATGAAACTTCTGGTTCTTCCCAGAATGAGTCTTTGGAATGTGATGAGGCAGACATGGATAAGAAGAAATATCTTGATCATCTTGGGTAATGTCTGTTATTTTTTACAATATGGTTATTTTTGTTGTTTCGTCTATAGTTGATCATTTATAGAGAGGCATTTTATCTGCCCATCTGAGAAGCACTTTATCTGCCCTTCCATTTTAAATAATAGCTTTGATGGAGAGAGTAATCTTGGATGTAGGTCCTTGCCTTTCATGACTTGGAATATTTTTTTCTAGCCCCTTCTTGCCTGCAAGGTCTCTTTTGAGAAATCAGCTGACATTCTTATGGGCACTCCTTTGTAGGTAACTCTCTCCTTTCCCCTTGCTGCTTTTAGGATTCTCTCTTTATCTTTGATCTTGTAACTTGATGATATGCCTTGGTGTGTTCCTCTTTGGGTCCAACTTCTTTGGGACTCTCTGGGTTTCCTGGACTTCTTGGGAGTCTGTTTCCTTTACCAGATTTGGGAAGTTTTCCATTATTTTTTCAAATAAGTTTTTAATTCCTTGCTCTTGTTCTTCTCCTTCTGGTACCCGTATGATTTGGATGTTGGAGAGCTTAAAGTTGTCCCAGAGGTTCCTAAGTCTCTCCATAGTTTTTTGAATTCTTGTTTCTTCATTCTGTTCTGATTGACTGTTTATTTCTTCCTTTTGTTGCAAGTCATTGATTTGAGTCCAAGATTCCTTCCCTTTGCTGTTGGTTTCCTTTATATTTTGCTTTATTTCATTTTGTGTAGCCCTCACTTCTTCCTTCATTTTGCGACAGAGCTCAATAAGTTCTCTCAGCATCCTGATTACCAGTGTTTTGAATTCTGCATCAGATAGGTTGTCTATCTCCTCATTGCTTAGCTCTTTTTCTGGAGTTTTCATCTATTCTTTCAGTTGGGCCACATTTCTTTGTCTCAGCGTACCTGTTATGTTGTAAAGTAGTAGAGCCTTAGTTATTTTCCGAGGTGGGGCAACCCTCTTTGTTGCATTGTGTCGCTGTCTATGGTGGAGGGGTCAGAGAGGAAATGATGCCGCTCACTTGCTCTACTCCCACTTTCCATCAGACTCTCCTGTGACACTGGGAGTTTCTCCCACTGTGGCAACCCCTGCAGTATTGTGCAGCTAGAGGTTTTGAGTCTTTAGTTTCCTCTTCAGCCAGCCCTACCTCACTAGTGGGGTCCACCGCCTTACTGCATGTCTTCTCTCCTAGGCTGCCCATCTCCACCCCTCCAACTGGTCTGGAAGCATGTTTCTTTAACTCCTTGGTTGTCAGAGTTCCATGCAGTTTGATTTTTTGGCACTTCTGGTTGTTCATTGTTTTTAAATTGGTTGTTATCCTTCTTTGGTTGTGCAAGGAAGTGAAGCATTTCTACCTATGCCTCCGTCTTGGCCAGTACTCCAAAATATTTGATTTTTACAATTAGAAATACATCATAATACTTCTCCTCCTAAGATGATAATAGTTGACATATTTTGAGTGCTCATATCATGTGCCAAGGACTTGTTAGGTGTTTTCGGTAAATTCTTATTTTTAAAAAAATACCTGTGTTTTTTCAAGAAGAAATAGTATATGAAGAAATGTAAACAATTACAAACTTGTCATTTTTATAGAGTTACAGGAAGCTCAAAAGATGAGGATGGTTTTATGACTGCACAAAATGTTCATCTAAAGTCTCAGAGCAATGGACATCCTTGCAAGACACCAGTAGAGTCTGACTCTGATTCTAGAGAGCCTAAGACTTTAGTTTTGGAAGGAAGGTATGCATGTGCCCTAAGGATCATGGGATTTACTTACTATGTTAATTACTCATTGGTGTGTAACAAATTACCTCAGAGCTCAATGATGGCTTGCAAACATTTATTGTTTCATAGTTTCTGTGAGTCAGAAACCTGGGAGAAGCTTAGCTGGCTAGTTCTGATTCAGGGATTCTCTTGAGGTCTTACTTTCAAGATATCTGTGTGCTCTGAAGGCTTGACTGGAAAAGGTGGATTTACTTACAAATGATACACTTACGTGGCTATTAGGTGGAGGCCCCAGTTTCTTGTAATTTGGTTTCTCTGTGTGGCTGTTCAATATGGCAGCTACTTCCTCACAAAGCAAGTGTTCTAAGAGCAAGTGTGACAACAGTGGAGGTCATAGTCCCTTTTAATGTCTCCAAAGTTGCACACTGTCATCTTCACTTTATTCTATTTGAAAGAAAGCACTAAGTTTAGACCACATTCAAGGAGAGGGCAAATAGGCCCTGCCTCTTGAGAGGGGGAATATCTAAGAATTTGTGGATATATAGGTTGGGGCAAAAGTAGGTTTATAGTTGTTCATATGGAAAATAATTAATAAATAATAATACAAAATAAGCTGTATTTGCATACTCACAACTGTAAACTTACAGTTGCTTTACTCTGTATGTTTAAAGCAAGCACACTCAATGAACAAACCAGATTAACCTACTCTTACAATATCTGAAGCCCTAGACCCTTTTTAAAAATGAAGAAATGGTAAATTATAGCAGATTCTCAGACTTAAGGGATGGCTAAGATTTCTTTATTATTTGGTAGGTTAAGTCTACTAGGCCTTTTAATACATTCATAATAGGAAGAAAGGGACCTAGGCTGAGATAAACTAAATAATCTCTGAATGATTTCTGGACTATATGTTAAATTACATTTTTTGGTGGTAGTTTTTTTTAAAGCTGATTTATATATAATATTCTTATAATTTGATTTTTATTGAACTGTGTTATTTGATATGACTTAAATTTGTAACTCTGACCTATGAGTTAGTTTAAAATGCTATAAAATTCAATATCATGTTCGATAGTTATAGAATTAAATTGTAGATTCTTTGTTTTATGCAGTAAGTAAGTATATTCTTGATCTATAAACATCACTGTTGGTTTTATAAGTAAGAAACCATTGTCAGTTTTAGGGGGAAAATGACCTTTAAGGTATTGTGTTGGTGAAAAAGTCCATTTAGTTTTTTCTGTAAATTAAAAGACATTATTCATTTTCACCAAGAACATTATTGATTGGGATATTTTGAGTATGTCAGCTGTCTCCCAGGTGGTATAATGTTGACTGTTCTCAATTGATGTCTTGATTTGATCACTATCAACTTCAACTGGTCTACCTGACTGTGGAGCATCATCTAGCTAGAAATCTCCAGAATGAAACCTTGTAAAGCATTTTTGACACATTCTTTCAGTCACAGCCCCTTCTCCATACACTGCACAATCCTTTTTTGCATTTCAGTTGACTTCACTGAAATATAAAGACTTCACTGAAATATTAACTTCTATTGAAATAATAAAGCATTGTGTACTGAAAATATTGTGTATATTCTTCTGTCTTCAATATTAAAATAGCTATATGATTCACCAGTTTTGATAAGTATTTTTTAAATGTACACTGTTATGACAGCAGTCACAATACATGTAACAAAATTGTTTCAGATGAGTTAAAACAACTAAGCACTAATAGAGCCATCTTATGAGAAGAAACTAAACAAACTTTCTGGCCAACCCAATAGATAATTAGATATATGTATTATACAAAGCACCAATTCCATGATTTGCTCTTTTTCCTTTTTTTTCTTAAGTGGACCTTCTAGGCTCAAGAATTACTTAATGTCTGGAAAGAATAGTTCAGCTATAGGTGATGAGGAAGTTCAGGAAAGTTCAGGTAAGTTATTGTATATTTTTTACTGTCTTGATTTTTACAGGATCATGCATATGGAATTAGGTGGGCTGTGTTTTATTTAAATGAACATCAATGGCAAATGTTTATTGAATATTTACTCTTTAAGAGCCTTGCTATATGTTTAGAGATTTGTGAGATCTTATATCTAGGTGAGAGAAGGAAGGAGACAAGACAGAGAATGAGGCTTTCTTTGAAGTAGGATATAATGAAGTAATTGGCAGTTAAGATATCTACTCTAACATAATGGTATATAAATGAAACAAAATTAGTCAGGTATTGGTGATGGGTATATCATATTCTTTATACTATTTCCTCTATTTTAAATATGTATAGCTCACATTTATCAGTGTTTAATAATAGAAGTGTTTTGGATCTTAATTTAGAAATTTTGGGATTTGGCTTTTGGAATTAGAAATATGGCATAGGAACTTAAACTCTTATTTATATTGGCTTGCGGTAAAATTTGTTTCCTTATATGTTATTTCACCTAAAGTAACTTTCTAAGACCCTGTTGATAACATTAAGTTAGGAGTTACTTCAGTGACTCCATGCATATTCCACCAGCAGTTCTTTCAGTATTTCTTTTTCTCTCTGGTTCAGGATGTAGTCTAGGATTGTGGATTGTATTTCACTTTCCTGTCCCTTCAGTTTTCTTAATAAGGAATAGTTTCTTAAGCTTTTTCTAACTTGAGAAAGTACAGGCTTTTCATTCTTAAGCATGACCTTCAACCTGGGTCTGTCTGGTGTTTCCTCATGATGAGATGCTGTCCATGCATTCTGTAGAAATATCTGCAGAAATGATGCTGTGTTTTTTGCACGTCACGTTAGGAGGCTCAGTGTTGACCCATCTCCTACTGGTGATGTTAGTCTTGACCATCTGTTCAAATTATAGCCATATTTATTTACCTAAAGACACAGTTTTTGTCTTTCATAATTGATAAGTGTTTTATAGTGCAGTGTCCTGATACTGTTTTAATAACTTGTTCCTTTTCAAACTTTCACACCAATCTTGGCATCTGTTAAGACTCCCACTTGAATTATCAGCCATTAATGATACCAAATTATTTTCAGTTTCTATAATTCCTTTAGTAATTAGTTATATTCCATAAAAATAGGTTTTTTTAACCTCTTCCCCATTTATTTATTCATTATATGGTTACATTATTATGGACTACTACTGGGTTCCTATTTTATTCAGATAGGTTATAATCTTCATCATTTATTCTGATACTCAAATTATGCCACATTTGGCTAATGGGTATCCTTTGAACTGGTTCTTATGTCCTTTAGTCATGTTTCTATCATGTTTTGAATATTGTTTTTGTATTTTTTTATTTTATTGTTTGTATTTTTCTGTATTTTATAGTAAATTTTAAGGACCCTGTCTTAACTCTGGAATAAGTTATTTCTCCTAAGGAACCGGTTTCGTTTAGTAGAGGATGGCATGTAGAAGCTTATATCTGGGTGCTTGGTGTGCTCGTTGTTTTTAGGATATCATCACTGCTAGGCTCTTTTAGTGGACTGAAATACAAAGTAGTTTCACAACCATATGTCTACATTGTATATACACAAGTATCTATATTTATTTCTGTATTTATATTTAGAAATCATCGTTTCATATCAGTATATCTGATCCCAGTCCACTTTTATAAACTCTTTCTCAGGTAGTAAAACCTGGCTTCTATTATCCTCAGTATATTTACTTATTTGCTTTGTTTCTTGTCTGACCACCAACTGCCTCTAAAACCCACTGTTGTGGGAAAATTTTCAAGCAGAGACTAGTCTTCTCCTTGTTTTAGAGGGGATTGCGTGAGAAATTGGATTTTTTTTTTTTTTGGTAACAGCTTTATTGAGATATACTTTATATACCATACAGTTAACTATTGAATTATGTACTCTAAAATTTAGAACATTATTATTACCCACCAAAAGAAGTTGTATACTCTTTAGCAGGCACGTTTCCACCCCTCTCCCTCCCCTAGACATTCACTAATCTGTTTTTGATGTCTATAAATTTGGCTGTTCTGGACAGAGAAATTATTTTATGGTCAATAAAGTTTCTTCCAAACCAGCAGTTTTAAAAAGTATCTAATTCGGTCATTTTTAATAATCTTTTGCTCTCATGAACTCATTTGAGAATATAATGAAAGCTTAGATCTACTTTTCAGGAAATGCATATTACATGCAAAATTATATAAAAAATTTTAGCCAATTCATGGACATTAACTGGTCCATTTACATATTGCCATATAACCCTCCAAAACTTAGTGGCTTAAATTGTTTTTTTATCTCTCATGGTTTGGTGGGTGGACTTGGCTTAGCTGGGCAGTTCTCACTTGGGCTGTACATATCATTGTGTTTAGATGCAAGTTTCTGGTGTTGGAGTAATTTGAAAGCTTACTGGGCAGAAAGTCCAAGGTGACTTCTTCACTTACATGTTTGGCACCCAACCTGGGTGGCTGGAACAGTTTGGGGCTGGCCAAGCATCTCTTTTCCTCCACATGACCTTTCCCTGTGGTTAGCAGGGGTTTTCCCATAGTGTGTCAATCTCAGGGCAGTGAGTCTTTATATATGGTGGTTGCTGTCCCCAGGGTAAAGATCAAGATGCTCAGGTGGAACCTGTATACCTTTTTAGGTTTAGCCTTTGAAGTCCCAGAAGATTGTTTCTGCTGCATTGCTAGTCAAGTAAGTCACTAAGGCCAGCAGAAATTCAAGAAGGGGATTAGACTCCATCTGTTGATAAAGAACATTTGTGCATGGGAAGAAAAAGAATTGATGGCAGCTATATTTAGGTGCTATTTACCCTACTGAAACTGAGAGTCCCTGACATAATTGGCACACTACTAGATTCAGTACAATTGTACTAATTTAGAACTTTAAAGATCATAGATTATATTATTAACATATTAATTGTTAATTATTATGCCCCACATTTTAATCTACCCAGTGACTTGTTTCACCCAAGTCCACAAGGAATAGAAAACATGTTTTTTATTTTTAAGTCTTTTGCTCACTAGATATAATCAAAATCTAGACAAATGCTACACTTTCCTTAGTCTTAGTCCTTAACAGTGAAAAGCTGAAGGAGAACAAAATACATTGTCAGGTAAAATTTTTATCTTTTGAATTTTGCAGATAACTCAAGAGTAAAAAGATCTAAAGTAACACAAGAGAACAAAATACATCACAAATTAGGTAAGATTAGTTCTGTCTTTTAATGGTTTCATATTATAAAACCTCTGTTTCTAAATGTACTTAATTTTTTCAAGCAGGGGGGAGTATTGTTTGGATTAATTGGCAGATAAATTAAAACTATATATTTAGCTTTCATGAATTTCACACTAAATCGTCACAGGCCACTGAGTTTCTTCATTGTCAATATGTAAATCCTGTAGCTTTCTCACTCTTTCTGTCACGGTAAGAAGGTGATCCTACCTAGGCTAAGGACCTAGGAGGTAGAATTCTATAAAGTATAGCTAGGTATCCCTGAAACTTCTCCCTCCATTTTTATCTAGTTCACTCCTAACTAAAGCAGTAGATAAGATAGCAAAGTAGTACTAGCCTGGGGACTGGGGCACCCATAGAGATCTGTGTGAGGATTAAAGCTCTGTGGTTCCACTACAAAGAGATACTTGCCAGTCAGAGTTTATAGGACCTCGCACCTTTGTGGAATTGGAGTGGCTTTTTATGTTTCTGGTTGTACTTGAGGCTGTGAGCGCCCTTGCACTTGTGCCTGGAGAGAACCAGTGGGGTTTTCTCTAATTGCTTCAACCACAAACTCACATCTCAGTATTTTGCAAGCCCATCTGAAGAGAGAGTGCTATACCTTGCTTAATGCTTGTCTTGGAGGGAGTGGAATACTGACTAGAGTCAGAAATAGATAAACAAAAGAAAAAAATGTTCCTGGGCAGGGGCTTCAGCATTATCTTTAAGAATTATTTCTAAGAATAGTAGACAGCTTCTGGTGAGCTGTACTATAACTTTTATAGTAGATGGATAACAGTTAACAAAAGAAATATGAGCACATTCACAGGTTCGGTTATAGCATAGAAGACTTCTAGGTACTAAAATACTGTGATTTTTCAGTTTAAAAAGTTGGCAAATGAACTGAAAATAAAGATAGTCACTAATAAGAGCTCAGTTAGTAGCTGGTGTTGACATGGAAGATATTCCTGAGGGTAGAAGTATAATCCACAAGGAAAAAAGATATCCAGTGAATAACATGGAGACAGAAGACAAAACATGCAAGTAATAGAATCTCTAGAAAAAAGAAAACAGTTAAAGAAAACTTTCTGGATTAAATACAAGCTTGAATCTGCAGTTTAAATGAGTTTACCAACTGGTAGACAGAATTATTGAAAAAGATATACTTCTACACATAGAGCGAATGAAATTCCTAAATTTTAAGAATAGAGGAAAATTTCCATGCACAAAGAACAAAGTTAAATGACTAAGCACTGCCCATCTGTGTAATACTGGAAGAATAAAGTTAACATCTGTAGTCTGTTTTCAGAAATGTATTACAATCCATTTAATTGTATATCTACCCAAGATATCTTTCTTTCTGGTAGTTGTTTTCCAGATAATACAAAGATTTAGTTTACTCTCCTTCATGTAAAATATCCATGTTGGGTATTCTAATGCAAGTCACAACTGAGTCCAGAGAGAAGGAACAGTACCAAGGAATGAATCTTGAAACATATGTGGTTAAATTTAAATAATATGTATTTATTTTCTATTGCTGTGTACTAAATTATAACAAATTCAATGGCTTAGAAAACACGTGTTTATTATCCCATGATTCCTATGGACTAGGAGCCCAGGCACATATTAGCTGGGTCCTCTGTCCAGCTTTTCAAAGACTAAAAATCAGAAGTGTCAGCCTGGGTTGTATAGTCTTGTTGGAGGTGGAGTCCCTTTTCCATGCTCATGTGCTTGTTGGCACAATTTAGTTCTTGAAATTGTAGGACTGAGGAATCTGTTTTCTTGTTGTTTGTCAGCTTGTGGGCCACTATTTTCAGCTTCTAGAAGCCATCTGCAGTTCCTTGACAGATGATACTTTTCATAGGCCCCCTCACAGCAGGCAGCTTCTTCAAAGTTAACAAAGAAGAATTTCGGCCTCTGCTAGATAGTATTTTATAAGTGTATCATCCATTGTCATGTGTATAATCATAATGTAATCACAGGAGTGACTTCCCGCCACCTTTGCCATATGCAAAGTTTCCAAAGTCATAGGTTCCATATGCATCCCTGGGGAGGGGATTATACGAGGGCCTAACTCGGTGCTGATTACCTTAGGGTGTGTCTACTACTTAATGCTGTTGTGGTTTGGGATTTATAAAAGTTAAATAGGGGTTTTTGTACTAATAGTTTGAAATCCAGACCATCTTGAAAGTTAGTGTGGTGGGGAGGAAAATAAGACAGGAAAGGGGTAATAAAAGTACAGTAGTCCATTCTTATCCACAGTTTCAGTCATCCATGGTCAGCCATGCTCTGAAAATATTACATGGAAATTTTCAGTAATAAACAGGTCATAAGTTTTAACTTGCCTGCCATTCTGAGTAATGTGATGAAATCTCCCATTGTCCTGCTTCATCCCATCCGAGATGTAAATCATCCCTTGGTTCAGTGTATCCACACTGTATACCTTACCTGGGGGATTTACTTAGTAGCTATCTGGGTTATCAGATCTACTGTTGTGGCTTTGCAGTGCTTGTGTCCACGTAACCTTTATTTTACTACTAATGGCCCCAAAGTGCAAGAGTAATGCTGCTAACAATTTGGATATGCCAAAGAGAAGCCATGAAGGGCTTCCTTTAAGTGGAAAGATATGTATGTATAGGAAAAAAGTAGTGTATATATAGCATTTGGTCCTATTTGCAGTTTCAGGCATCCACTGTGGGTCTTGGAACATATCCCTGGTGGAAAAGGGGGGCCTACTAAAGTCTAAAAGTTTCATTTTACCCAAAAGAAAAAAGAGAGGATAGCATGTCTTGGTAAGGAAAATCATTTTTTATATAATTGTAAAAAATAAGTTTAATTTTTGAGTGTCAGGAATGGGATGTTAACTAATATTAGAGAGAAAAAGCACAGCACAACTCTGAAGTGACCAAGAGGGAGAGGGGAGAAAAGAAATGGTCATTTGATCAAATCAATAAAAATTAGAAGAATCACTAATATGACTTGTAAATATAAAGTAAGATGGAAAGAATAAAAGGAAACTTCTTACACTAGGTATGAATAGATTGAATTCCTCTAATAAGATAGAGACTTTCCATTTGGTTAAGTTATACAAATTGACCTATATGTTTATAAGAAACACTTAAAACAAGTTTTAAAATAAAAGGTTGTCAAAAAATTAGGTAGGCTCATATAAACAAAAATAGTACAATTTTAATATTAGGCAAAGTGGAATTTAAGGTTAAAATAAAAGTGCTGAACAGGGTAAGGAAGGACATGCAACAATAACATGGATAATTTATGAAGAAGATAGAAAAATCATAAACTTTTGTTTACCAAATAACCTAGCAACTAAAATATGTAAAGTAATAACTAAGAAAAAGCAAGGAGATTTTCATTTAACAATACAGTTAAACTGGGAGATTTTGATAAACCATTTTTAGAAATGGTTTTAAAAATGGCTTAACCATTTTAAAATGGTTTTAACCATTTTAACTCTAGCAAACAAAAACAAATAACATAAGAATTGGATTACATAGCTAACTAACTCAACTGAGTTTAGAGAACTTTGCACTGTTCAAATAAAGTGAGTAGATATGTGTGCTGTGCTCACAAACACAAGCACAAATGACTGTCCTGTTGTATGTATTTCCTATTATGGAGCATTTAGATGTCTTTCAATTTAATATTTATTTTTTATTTCTGCTATAAACAGTATTACCATACATGTTCTTTAATTACAGCTTTGCCCACTTTTGTGAATATTATTACAAACTCATTTTTTAGAAATGAAATTTGAGTCAAAGAGTATTATAGGTATTGTCAAATTGTCTTCAATTACTTTACATTTTTACCTATAATATATGAGTTCCTGTGTACCTTTAACATCATTAACCCTGTGTATTATTAAGTTTTAAATCTTTGCTAATCCGGAAGCCTAGTATTTCATTGGCATTACTTTAATTATTAGCTCATATGTCTTAAAATTTTGTACTGTTTTGTCTAGAAGCATCATTAGTGTTCTAGAAGGTAATATCAATCTTTCCATTGCAAAGTATCATTCAACTGAACATATGTTTATATTTTTGTATAATATCTTTTTACAGTATTGCCCTCCAACACACCAAATGTGCGCAGGACCAAGAGAACACGATTGAAACCTTTGGAATACTGGCGGGGGGAGCGAGTAGATTACAAAGAAAGGGAATCAGGTAAAATTTACATTTTAATGTCTGACAAAAAATGATCATGAGGATTACTATAGTTTATTTATATATATTATGTGCTAAGCGCTGTCCTACATATTTACATACATTATCTCATTTAATCATCATCAATCATCATCTCACTGAAATGTGACAAGAGTAGATTGAAACTCAGATTTCTCTTATTACTTATAGAGATGTAAATTTCTTATTCTTTTTGGTAGCAGTTTAAGGTGTATGTGGCTTTATAGAGTGTTATTATTTCTATACTATGTAACGAGGCTTCTAATTGCATAAAATTAAACATTAAATTAGAACATGTAATTTCTACAGAAATGATAGAGGGTAGGCAAGAAAGTATAGTCAGTGCTACCTTGAAGTTATTTCCTTTCTTGGATGGATGTATCTAAGTCAAAGGACTGAAATTCACATTTGGATTATTATAAAGATTTTATCGCTGGCCTTTTGTTTGTTATAAACCTTCACTGATGATGGTTGCTTTCAAGCAACAAAAGTAATTTAATCATTTAATCAGTGCTTGTAGATTTAGGATAGTGAACACATTAGGGAAATGGGTTGGCATTTATGTTATTTGAAGTAGCTCTAGAATGTAGTAATGATAATGTATTCTTTGTACTTTGTAAGGAAATTGCTATAATAATTTAAAGGAGCTCTCTCTGTTTTAAAGTTTTCATTTTCCCAGATTTGACATTTTTTCTTTTTTGTTGTTAAATTTCAGGAGGATTTGTAATTGGTGGAATACTGTCCCCTGACACAGTATCATTTAAGAGGAAGGCAAAAGGAGAAACGAAAAAAATGAACAAAATAGTTAATAGGAAAAGGATCTGTCTTGATGATGATGAAAGAAGTACGAATTTCTTTTTAAAAAAAAATTATTTTATTGTTGTTTAGTTACAGTTGTCTGCATTTCCCCCACTACCACTCCCCACCCACCCCAGTCAAACCCACCTCCCTCTTTTGCTTCCACCCTGCCCCTTGGTTTTAGCCATAAGGATTTTTTGAAGTGAATTCACTCTAATGTATCACATCAGAAGTTTTCATAGATAGATTTCAAAATTTATAGGAGCTACTTCTCAAAGCACTGTTATTTATAAAATAACCTTAAAGTTACTTTCAGAGTATGAACATATTTCTCAAAGTAACTGTGACTTTTGAAATCTATCTATGAAAACTTCTAATATGATACATTAGAGTAAATTCACTTCAAAAAAATTCCTCATCTGAGGATATGTTTATTGATTTTAGAGGGAGAGAGGAAGGGAGGGAGGGAAGGAGACAGAGAAAGAGGGAAGTATTGATGTGAGAGAAACATCGATCAGTTGCCTCCCAGACATGTCCTGACCAGGGATTAAACCCTAGGTTTGTACCCTAACCTGGGATTGAAACGGCAACCTTTCAGTCTATGGGACAATGCACCAACTAACTGATCTACCCAGCCAGGGTGGTAAATTCACTTTTTAATATCTACTTTTTTCCCCCCAAATTTTGAAAGTAAACTGATTTTATTTTAAATTCTGTAAGTTATTTTTCAATTATGGTTGACATTCAATATTATATTGGTTTCAGGTGTACAGTATAGTGGTTAGACATTTATGTAACTTAAGAAGTGATCCCTTGGTATGTCTAGTACTCACTAGGTACCATATATAGTTACTACAGTATTATTGATTATATTCTCTGTGCTGTACTTTACCTCCTATGACTGTTTTGTAACTACTGGTTTGTACTTCTCAATCCCTTCCTTCCTATTTTTCATCCAGCTCCTTGCCCTACCCCAAATCTGGTTATCAATCTGTTCTCTGTATCTATGAGTCTGTTTCTGTTTTATTTGTTCATTTTTTAGATTCTACATGTAAGTGAAATCATATGGTATTTGTCTTTCTTTAACTGATTTCACTTAGCATAATATTCTCTAGGTCTGTCCATGGTTGTTGCAAATAGTAAGATTTTATTATTTTTTGTGGCCAAGCAATATTTATATACACATGTATCACATCTTTTTTTTATCATGTGTCTATTTGTGGAAACTTCAGTTGCTTCTGTATCTTGGCTATTGTAAATAATGCTACAGTGACCATAGGGGTGTATATATCTTTTCAAATTAGTGTTTTGGATTTCTTAGGCTAAATATTCAGAAGTGAAATTGCTGGATCATAAGGTAGTTATGCTTTTTATATTTTGAAAAACTTTCATTCTGTGTTCCATATTGGCTGCATCAATTTACAGTCCCACTAACAATGCATAAGGGTTCCCTTTTCTCCACATTCTTGCCAATACTAAATTGTTTCTTGATTATTGTGACAGGTGTGGCTTTAATTTGAAGTTCTTTGATGATTAGTGATGTCGAGCTTTGTTTTATATGTTTATTGGCCATTCGTATAAAATTGAAGAAATGTCTATTCAGATCCTCTGGCTATTTTTAAATTGGATTTCTTTTTATTTATTTATTTATTTGTTTGTTTTTTGCTGTTAAGTTGTATGACTTAACTAACAGTTTGTGACCAACACATTGTTGGATGTATCATTGGCTACTTCCATCAGTAGGTTGTCTTTTTGGTTGTTTGATGGTTTTCTTGTCTGTGCAAAAATTCTTTAGTTTGATGTAGTTCCACTACAATTTGTTTTGTTTTGCCTGTTTGAGGAGGCATGTCCAAAAATATTTTACTAATGGTAAATTCTAAGAGTTTACAGCCTATATTTTCTTCTAGGAGTTTTATGATTTTGTGTCCTGCATTTAAGTCTTTGGTCCAGTTTTAATTTCTTCTTGTATGTGGTACAAGAAAGTGGTCTAGTTTCATTTTTTTTACATTTACCTGTCTAGTTTCCCCAATGTCATTTATTGAAGAGACTGTCTTTACTTCATTTTATATTCTTGCCTTCTTTGTCATAGATTAATTGACCATATAGGTATTAATTTATTTTTTAGCTCTCTATTCTATTCCATTGATCTATGTGTCTGTTTTTATGCCAGTACCATGCTGCTTTGATCACTATATAGCTTTGTGATATAGTTGATAGCAGGTTTTGTGATACCTCCAACTTTGTTCTTCCTTCTCAAGAGTGCTTTGGCTATCTTTTGTGGTTTTGTGTGTGTGTGTGTGTTATTTTTTCTAGTTCTGTGAAAAATACCATTGGTGTTTTGGTAGGGATTATATTGAATCCACAGATTGCTTTGGGTACTACAGACTTTTTTACGATGTTAATTCTTCCTATTCAAGATCATAGTATGTTCTTCCATTTATTTGTCTGTGTTTTAATTTTTTCTTCAATATGTTACAGTTTATTGAGTCCTGGTCTTTTAACTCCTTTGTTAAATTTACCCCTAAGGTGGTTTTTTAATATAATTTTAAATTTGATTGTTTTTTAAATTTCTCTTTCTGATAATTCCTTATTGGTGTATAAAAATTTATAAATATTAATTTTGTATCCTAACTTAGTGAATTCATTTATCAGTTCTGAAAGTTCTTTTAGTATAATCTGTAGGGTTCTCTCTATAGTATCGTGTTAATAATGGTAATTTTATATCTTTCTTTCAAATTTGCATGCCATTTATTTTATTTCTTGTCTGAATGTTGTGGTTAGGACCTTTAATGCTTTGTTGAATAAAAGTAGTGAACGTGGACATCCTTGTCTTGTTGTTGACTTTAAGGATAGTGCTTTTAGCTTTTCACTAATGAATATGATGTTAGATGTAGGTTTGTCATAAATGGCCCTTATTATGTTAAGATATGTTTCCTCAGTTTTCACTTCACTGGGAGTTTTTGTCATAAATAGGTGCTGGACTTGGTCAAATGCTCTTATTGCATCTATTCCACATGATTATGTGATTTTTATCCTATATTTTGTTTATATAGTGTTCACATTAATTAATTTGCAGATATTGAATGAACCTAGCATCCCAAAAATAAGCCCTCTTGAGCAGGGTTTATCATCTTTTTAATGTATTGCTGAATTTAGTTTGCTAATAGTTTGTTGAGGATTTTTGTATCTATGTTCATCATAGATACTGGACTATAATTTTCTTTCTTTTTTTTTTGTAATTTTTTTTTTCCTGTTTTTGGTGTCAGGGGAATACTGGCCCTGTAAAAGGAGCTTGTGAACCTTCCCTCCTTGAATTTTTTGGAATAGTTTGAGAAAGACAGGTATTAATTACTTTATGAATATCTGGTAAAATTCACCTGTGAAGCCTCCTGGTTCAGGACTTCTGTTTGGGAGTATTTTGATTACTGATTTTATTCATTGATAGTTCTTGATTTAGCCTTGGAAAATTGTGTGTTTCTAGGGATTTATCCATTTCTTCCATGTTGTCCAATTTATTGCCATATAATTGTTTGTAGTATTTTCTTATAATCCTTTATATTTTCATGGTATCAGTTGTCACTTTTCGTTTTTTATTTCTGATTTTATTTGTTTGAATTCTTTTTTTTTCTTTATGAGTTTGGTTAAAGGTTTGTCAATCTTGTTTTTCTTTTCAAAGAGCCAGTTTCATTGATCTTTTGTATTGTTTTCTTAGACTATTTTATTTCCACTCTGATCTTAATTATTTCCTTATTCCTCACTTTGATTTTTGCTTGTTTTTTTCTAGTTTCTTAAATATAAGGTTAGATTGTTTATTTGATACTTGATTTGCTTCTTGAGATAAGTGTATATTGCTGTAAATTTTCCTCTTATAACTGCCTTGGCTGTGTCCCATAGATTTGAGGTCATTGTATTTTTATATTTGTCAAGGTATTTTTTTTTTACTTCTTCCATAAGCTTGTTTTTGACCCATTCGTTATTTAGTAGCATATTATAGAGCCTGAATATGATTGTGTGGTTTTCAGTTCTTCTTATAATTAATTTTTAGTTTCATACCATTGTGATCAGAGGAGGTGCTTGATTTGATATGATTTCAATCCTCTTAAATTTATTGAGACTTGTTTTTCAGCCTATCCTGTAGTCTACCCTGGAAAATGTTCCATGTTCACTTGAAAAGAATGTGTATTATTCTGATGCTTTAGGGTTATGTGTTCTAAAAATATCAATTAAATTTATTTGGTCTAATATATCATTTAAGACTGCTGTTTTCTTATTGATTTTCTCTCTGGATGATCTATCCATTGATGTTGATGGGGTGTTCAAGTTTACTACTATTACCGTATTACTGTCCATCTCCCCCTTTATCAATATTTGCTTTATATACTTAGGTGCTCCTACATTCGGGTGGGTAAATGTTTACAAACGTATAGCCTCTTGTTGATTATCACTTTATAATTATGAAATATCCTCTTTGTCTTTTATTATATCCTTTGTTTAAAGTCTGTTTTGTCTGATACAAGTATTGACATCCTGGCTTTGTTTTCATTTTTTATTTGCAGGAAATGTCTTTTTCCATCCCTTTATTTTTAGTTTGGGTGTATCTTTCCATCTGAAATGGGTCTCTTGTAGACAGCATGTGTATGGGTCTTATTTTCTTACCCATTCATCCACCCTGTCTTTTGATTAGAACATGTAATTCCCTTTACATTTAAAGTGACTATTGATAGGTATGTAGTAATTGCCATTTTATTGTTTTCTGATTGTCTTTGTAGTTTTTCCTCTGGCTTTTCTTATTCTCCTGCTCTCATCTCTTTTATGTTGATTACTTTCTGATTTGTTTTTGTTTGTTTTTCTCTTTGGATTCCTTTCTTTTTATTTCTTGTATGTCTCCTGTGGATTTTTGGTTCGTGGTTACCCTGTGCTTCATGTATACCAAGCTATGTTTATAGCAGTCTATCTTAAATTGATGGATGCTTAAATTTTAATACATTCTACAGTCACTATTATTTTTAATCGCCCTTCCATATTTGTGTTATTGTCTCTTATTTTTACTCCTTTTGTGTATTTGTATGTTTTACTTAATTTATTATTGTAGTCATGTATGATCTTTCAACTTTTGCCTTTTAACCTTTGCATTAGCTTTTTGTGTTTTCTTTTTCCAGTTCTGCTTGAGGATATGTTTGTTGACCTTAGAGAAAGTGGGAGGGGTGTGAGGAGGGAGGGAAGGAAAGAGGAAGGGAAAGAGAAAGAGAAACATTAATTCGGAAGAGAAACATTTATCAGTTGCCTCCTGTATGTTCCCCGACTGGGGATTAAACCCTCAATCTAGGTATGTGCCCTGACTAGGAATCAAACCCACAACTTTTTGGTGCTCAGGACAGTGCTACAACCAATTGAGCCAACTGGCCAGGGCCACCCTGCTTTTATTATGGGTTTTTGTTTTTTTTTTTTGTCAGTGAGAATTTTTTCTATCTCATATTTTTTATTCATATTCATATTTTTATTCTTTCATAAAATTCCCTTTAACATTTCTTTCAATACTAGATTGGTGGTGATGAAGTTCTTTAGCTTGTTTGGGAAGCTCTTTGTCTCTCTGTCAATTCTAAATGATAGACTTGCTGGGTAGAGTAGTCTGGGATGTAAGTCCTCGCTGTTCATCGCTTTGAATATTTTATGCCAGTTCCTTTTGTTCTGAGCTTGGAGGCACCTGGGAGAGGCCATGCTGCAAACCAAGGCTAGCTGTCACTGGTGTTGGGCTTTGGACCACTTACCAAGAGGTACAGGGTATTTTGAGGCCAGCCACTGGGTGAGGCCAAGTTACTTGTGTGAAACAACTGCTGAGATTCTGTCTGGGCATAGGAGTTGGGAGGATGGATTCTCAGGGCATCACCAGAGTGTGGTGAGTGGTGTGAGCCAGTTAATGCAGTCTCAGACTTGGCATCTACTTGCTCCTGCGGGCTGTGTGGGGGGAGGGCTCAACAAAGGAACAGTGGTGCCTGCTAGCACTTTTGTCTGAGAGTTGCCCCTCTAGTCCTTGCCCTGAAGCCAGACAATTCAGTTTCTTCTTGAATGTCCCTAGCACTTTTTGAGTGCTGTCTTTTCTCTAGAGCTCAGGGCCAGTGTTTAGGAATGAGTGAGTCTGTGCTTGGTTCCCATGGGTCTCCAGTAGCCCTCCATTTCACCCAGTTGGAATCCCCACTGATGTTCATAGGTAGATATGGGGGGACTCATGTTTTCTGGTACTGGTGCTCCAGATTAGCAAGCAGAGTGTGGGGCTGGGACCCTCCAGTCCTTAGGGGGACTTCCATAGCTGAGATATTCCTCCCCATTCTTAAACACCAGAGTAGGTATGGGTCCAGCCTGTTTCAGATCTCTTCTTCTCTTACCACTCTCCATGTGTCTTCTTTTTATATACTTAAAGAATTCTTTTTGAAAAATTTCAATATGTTTATTATTTTTTAATTTTTATTGTATTTTTCCATTACCATTTAGTCCCTTCATACTGACTTCCCCCACTACACCGTTGTCTATTTCCATTAGTTCTTTTTCCTTTTTGCTCAGTCCTTCCACCCCCTAATCTCCCTCTAACTTTAGCTGTCATCCTGCTCGACTTCGCTTGTTAGTGCAGTTTATTCATTAGATTCCATATATGAGTGAAATCATACAGTATTTTTCTTTCTCTGACTGGCTTATTTCACTTAGTATAATGTTTTTTCATACTATCACAAAGGATAAAATTTCCTTTTTTTTTTCATGGCTTAGTGGTACTTCATTATGTAAATGTGCCATAGTTGTTTTATCTACTCATCTACAGATGGACACTTGGGCTGTTTCCATATCTTGGTGATTGTAAATAATGCTGCAGTGAACATAGGGGTGCTTATGTTCTATCAAGTTAGTTTTGGGGTTCTTTTGGACATATTCCCAGAAGTGGGCTGGTAGGTCAAAAGGCAGATCCATTTTTAATTTTTTGAGGTATCTCCATACAGCTTTCCTGAGTGGCTGCACCAGTCTGCATTCCCACTAACAGTGCAAGAGGGTTCCCTTTTCTCCACATCATGACCAGCACTTGCTATTTGCTGATTTTTTGATGATAGGCATTCTGACAGGTGTGAGATAGTATCTCATTGTGGTTTTAATTTGTATTTCTCTGATTATTAGTGACATTGAGCATCTTTTCATATTTCTATTGGCCATCTGTATGTCCTCTTTGGAGAAGTGTCTATTCAGGTCCTTTGCCCATTTTTTAATTGGGTTGATTTTTGGGTTTTCTTTGGTATTTTGTTTTATAAGTACTTTATAAATTTTGGATATTAACCACTTATCTGATGTATTGGCAACTATGTTCTCCCATTCTGTGGGTTGTTTTTTATTTTGTTGATGTTTTCCTTTGCTGTACAAAAACTTTTTAGTTCGATGTACTCCCATTTGTTTGTTTATTTTTCCCTTGCCAGGGAGGTAGATCCAATAAAATATTACAATGAGCAGTGTCCGAGATTTCATTGCTTATGTTTTCTTCCAGGATTTTTATAGTTTCAGGTATAACATTTAAGTATTTAATCCATTTTGAATTTATTCTTATGTGTGGCGTAAGAAGGTGGTCTAATATCATTTTCTGCAGGTTTCTGTCCTGTTTGCCCAACACCATTTATTGAATGAACTATCTTAGCCCATTGTACGTGCTTGCTTCTCAGTCGAATATTGACTGTAAAGATGTGGCTTTATTTTCAGACTCTCTAGTCTGTTCCATTGATCTATGTGTCTGTTTTTATGCCAGTCCCAGGCTGTTTTGATTACTGTGGACTTATAATGTAGTTTCATATTGGGTAGTGTGATTCCTCCAACTTTGTTCTTCTTTCTCAGGATTGCTCTTGCTATGCAGGGCCTTTTTTGGCTTTATATAAAATTTTTGAAATATTTGTTCTAGTTCTGTGAAATACATGATTGGAATCTTGGTAGGAGTTGCATTGAATCTATAGATTGCTTTGGGTAGTACGGACACTTTAATGATGTTAATCCTTCCCATCTATGAGCCCAGTATGTGCTTCTATGTATTTGTGTCTTCTTCAATTTCTTTCTTTAATGTCTTGTAATTTTCCATGTACAGGACTTTTACGTCCTTGGTTAGGTTTATTCCTAGGCATTCTATTCTTTTTGAAGCAATTTGAATGGCATTGTTTTCTTAATTTCCATTTCTGTTACTTTGTTACTGCCATATAAAAATACAGCTGATTTCTGGATATTGATTTTGTATCTTGCTACTTTGCTGAATTCATTGATCAGTTCTAGTAGTTTCTTGGTAGACATTCTGTTCAGCTTGTCTTTAAGTTGTCCTCCAGGATTGTTATTCTAAAACAGTTTTAATTTTAATATATGTATGGGTGGTGGTAAGTACAGCACTTACCTACCCTGCCATCTTGACTGGAAGTCCAAATTGATTTTACTTAAAAAAAATAAATAATCATTAATAGCATAGAATAAAAGATTTCTACATGAGTAAATGGCCCTGTGAAATGAAGCTGACCTTTTCAATGCCCAGCCATGGTTAAAGTAGACTTTTTGATGACTTCTTTCTAATGTGTATTGCATACTTCCAGCTCTCTTTGAGAATATGCAAAACCATTTAATTTCTTGATACAGAAGTTCAAGAGTTGTCATATTATAACAAGCGTACATAAAATAAGAAATGTAGGATGTTTGCTTTTATATTAAATCATTGTGGTTTTGGAGATAGTGCTTATCAGAATAGTCATTTGTAAATAGGAAGAGATTGTTAATGCCTCTGGCAGTTCTCCTTTATAACTTGTCCGTAGGTGTATTTCCTACTAGGTTTTTTTTTTAATAGAAATGAATTTTAAGTACATAGTTTATATTTCTATTGTATTTCTTTTGCAGAGGAAAAATTAGTACAAAATCTGAATATAACTCTGGGAGATCCTTTGCAGCCAACAAGGGTAAAGGACCCAGAAACAAGAAAGATTATTCTCATGGGTAAGATCAAGAATAATATTGAAAATGCTTAATTTAATAGCTAATACGTACAAACTGCTGGCTTGCTCACCAGCCTGTCTACTTTCTCTTTCTAGCTCTTTCAGAACCAATGCCCAGTAGAGGGACTAACTTCAATAAGCAGCCCATATGAGGAATAGTCTGGGGAAGCATTGATGGCACACAGCTTTTAGGGGACCTACAGCACCTTATGCATTTGCGCTCTGGGATACAGGTGTTACTATCAGGCATGTTGCCTTCCCTGATAGGGTCCAGGTCTTTGACCAGGAGGATATATAGGGACAAGGGCTGTTTATGAGGAACTATAGCAAGTTAGCAGGCAGACAACAGGACACACTCTTACTATGAGACCACAAAGGGATTGTGGGCAGGATTTGGAAAGCCTTCTTGGCAGTGAGGTTCCAATAATAGTACCTGGCACATGAAACTTTTTGGGGATGACTGGCAAGTGCATCAATCAGCCAAACAAATGCCACACTTAACTTTAGGGTTGGCACAATGTTGTAGATGTCTTCTGCTCTATTGAGTAGACATTAAAAGTTAGTATCTTGGCTAACCATGGGAGGTCCCAAAGGATGAGTGTAGTGTGGTGGGAGTAAGTAGGGAACACTCTCAGTGAATACCAAAGACCTTTTATCCTAAGTCATAGGACATTTAGGTCAAACCACAGAGACTATAATAGTATTCACACTTAAAATTTTTACAGTGAAGTGAGTTCCATTTGAATTCTTAAGTAACAAAGTTATTTCTATATTCAGATTGTTTATTTGGTGGCAGAGATGGAAGGATAGATAATTTTGTTTAGTGTCTTAACTGAAAATATTGCTGTACTGTTACCAGGTTAGAAAAGTTGTATGTGTTGTTAGGAGTTCATCACTTTTTATCTGTTTCTTGAGTCTGTATTTTGTATGTCCTGTAAAGTGGGATTACTAGCATTCCCAAATACCCAGGGAAAGTCAGAAGCTGATAGAAGAATGTATTAATTGTAGAACCGGAAAGATTTATAAGTAAAAAGGAAACTCAAAAGGGAGTTAGTAATTTCTGAGCAACAGTCAGAACTGTCGTTACTTAGAGCATTTACCCGATAAATAAAGATCTTGTTGTGTAATAATTAGTCAAATAAACATAAAGGAATATATTGGCATGAAGATGATATGTTTGTATTGTGGGCCATGTAAAGAATTTTAAATATATGGAAGTCTTTCTTATGTCTTAGCTACTTTTGTTTTTCATTAGAGCTTTAAGGGAAATAATAGTAATACTGCCATTATTATTATTATTAATAGCTAAGACTTAGTTAATGTTTACTTTGTGCCAGTGTTTTAATACTTTGCACAAGTTAACTCATTTGATATTTACAACTCTAGCATAAACTATTATTACTTTATAGAACAGAAAATGTAGGCACAGAGAAAGGATAAATAATGCGGCTAAGGTTACATAGCCTGTAAGACAGAATTCGACACCTGGCATTGTAGCTCCAACGTCAATGATCTTAATAACTTTTGACTTTCTAAGGCAGGTTTATGTCTAGAATGACTATTATAATTATGTGTCTGTATGTTATATAATTGAGCAATGCCATTACTATTGCCTTATATTTATGTTAATATTTTATCCTTAGATATTTTAAGGCCACGAGATATGTATCAATTTTCAGTTGAACATGCTGACTTGAAAGTATATAAAACATTGGATACACCCATTTTTTCTACTGGAAAATTGATATTAGGACCACATCAAGAAAAGGGAAAGCAGCATGTTGGCCTGGATACATTGGTGAGTATATTTCTCTCTATATTTGTGTTTTGCTATTGGTACTTTTCTGTTTTATTTGACATGATGTGACATTAAACATGCTGTTTTCTTAGAAATGATACCTTATTATAGTGCACAGTTACTTCTTTTATTTGTTACATCTGTTTAGAGTTAGTCAAGCAATGGTTATTTAAAAGTTTCAGTGTGTAGCAGTATAGCCTTGAGATTCAGAAATTTAAGGAATGATCTTTACTTAAAAGAATGTTAGGATATTGGTTTGCACAGAGATTTATTAGAGTTTTAGAGCTGGAAGGGGTTATTAAGATTTAGTCTAAATCTCAGTTCTTCAGTCATGCAGTTCAGCAGTAAAGAACTTAAGAGACTTCTTCCAAATCATGTAAGTAGTTAGCAGCAGATTTAGAATTGGAAGTTGCTTCAGTAAGTGTAAGTAATATTATAGGCTAAAGTTATAATGAGATGCAGGGTGAGTCAGTCTCTAACTCTACATGAGGAGATACACACTTCTGTAATATTGGTCTGATGTATATGATATTTCTGTTTCTGAATTGAAAAATTGTAGAATCGAAAATCACTAAGTTTAAAGAATATTTAAAATTACATCAGCATTTAAAAAATATTACATCTAAGGCACATTCTTCAGTAAATAAAATTTCTGGAACCTACAAAATCATTGGTTACTGGGGGTATCGCATTCAAAACAGTTCTTTATACTGAAAAAATTAAAGTAAGCTGAAAAAGGAGAAAAGGAAAGAACATCATTGAGTTTATATTAACAATGAATGGCAAATTGAGGCAAGGAAAGGGAAAGGTACACATGAGAGTCAAAAGAGTAATTTATTACTACATCAGTATAACTAGAATTCAGATTTAAAATATTTTAAAATATTATTTAATCCAATCTTAAAATGTTATAGAACTCCAAACATTTTAACTAAAAGAGTAAAAATTATAAATTTAACTAACTTAAGTAATATATGACTCCTGTATAGTCTTTGAGGGACAATTAATAATGAAGATAAAGCATTATGAAATGTCATCACTGAACTAATAGTATTTACCTATTAAAATGTAATGCCTTTGCCTTTATTATGCAAAAGGAAATTGGAATAGTAAGACCTTAAAAATGTTTAACATGGCTAATATTCAAAGTACTCCATATTAAAACACAGGATATTTTATTTTATAATCACTGAATTAGTGGAAATTATTGGGAGGTAATTTGTACTCATTCACCTATGACTCTTAGGTCAGAAATTTTTCCTAGGAAAATAAATGAAAAGTTAGGGAAGCTGAACATATGTGGTTAATCATTGTAACATTGACAGCAACTACAATAATTAGAAACCATTGAAATGTGTTGCAGAAAAAAAATGGTTATATTTATATTCTGACTTACTAATGAGGTAAACCATATGATAAGCATTTATTTAGCACTCACATGTTCTAGGGTCTGTACTGAGCATTTTTTATTAGTTTATATTATATGTTAATATATTATATTGTTTTTATATATATTAAGTATACATTATTTTGAAAAATAGCTACATGAGAAGACCTTGAGGAGAAACATTTAAACAAACTATGCAAGATAAAATATTCTGTATTTTCCTTGTTAGAATTTAAAATAAGAATGATAGAAATTTGAAGGAACTATAGAAAAATAACATTTTATTAAGTGATTGTATCTGATTTTTATTTCTTCTAAATGTTGCCTTTAAGTTTTTATAATGAAAATTAGTGGAAGTTTTAATAAAAAGGGGAGTAATTTTACATTTTTAAAACATGAAGCACACTTTTAAATACAGTCATCTCTCAGTACTAGACAGCTTGAGGACTCATCAAACCCCATACTTGTTACATTTGACAAGAAAAAAATGTTTCATTACTAGGCACTTAGAATTGGTTGGACTTGCTAGAACTTGTTTCAGTCATGATACCCCCACCTCCAGCCCCCCACCAAGAGGAAATGCTTCATTTTTTGGTACTTCTTAGTTTCAGTACTTCACATTAATGATGAGTGTCAAAGCACCACTGTATAGGTAGGTTTGTGAGAAACAAATAGAAGGATAAGATGGAGAAGTAGCATGGTTCATTAACTCTTTTCTTCAAATTTAGTGCTAATCTCTATGAGAGAGAGAGAGAAACATTGAAGTAGATTTGTTAAAATCAGTTCACACAAGAACTAACAAATTAACTATGAGAACTTTCCTAGAAGATAAGAAGAGATTAAGAAGTAGAAAACTTTAAAAGTTAAGTGATGTGAAAGCAGAAAAAAGGCAGAAGACAGAAAGAAAACAAATGAGCAAAGGGTAGAAATATTTGAAAATTAGACAGTGAATGTCATTTTGACAAGTATGGTAAATAAAGGGAAATAATTAAACATTTAGTTTGTCTTTCTCATATAAACCATATTATTAGTTAACTAAATAATAGACGAGGGAAAGTTTGTTCTTGTTAGAAATATTGCAAGTAATAAATGAAGAAGGATTTTTAGAATGCAATATTACTATTTTGCAACTCCCGATAAACTATTGGATCTAGGCATTGAGCATGAGTGTCTGCTCACATCTAAAGAGTACAACCAGATGTTTCATGCCTCCTGCTGGAAGAATACAAGATTGTTTGTGAACTAGTATTACTCACTCTACCTCCTTAAAAAAACAGAAACAAAGAAGGGAAAAAAAAAAAAACCACCTGAATTTGATCAAGTCTCTACATCTACCAATTTAGCAAATAAAGAATAGCAGACCTTTCAAGTGATACTCTGGACTTGTATTTAGCAAAATCTAGATGTGCAAAGATTTTTTAATACAAACTTTGCTGCTTTACTTTTCTAATTCATAAGCTGCAAGAAATAAAAAAGACAGAACAAGGAGAAACCTGTAGACTGGGCTTTCTCAACCTTAGCGCTGTTGACATTTTGGACTGGATAATTCTTTGTTGCGGTGCGGGGTGAGAAGCTATCCTTTGCATTGTAGGATGTTTAGAAGCATCCCTAGCCTCTACCCAATCAAATTTAGTAGTACCCTTCTAGTTGTGAAAATCAGGAATATCCCCAGACATTGCCAGTTGTCCCCTGAGGGTCAAAATCATACCCAAATTGAGAACCACTATAGACTGAGTGATTTAAGACTCTTACTTGGATACCAATTCAAACAAACCCTAAAATATATGATATTTAAGAGATAATGGGAAATTTGAACACTGACTATTTGATATTAAATATTCATTTAGTTTTAGGTATGATGGCAGTATTGCGCACAAGCATATTTTATTAAAATACCTGATCTTTCAGTACACACTGAAATATTTACAGATGCTTTCTGGTTCTGGACATTTCAAAATAATATGGACTAGGGGAAGTAGAGAGACTTTGAATAGGGCTGGTGGTGGGTGTTAGATATTCATAGGAATTCATCATTCTGTTATGTATTTCAAACCTTCTTAGTGAACTGTTTGCAAAAATGGGAAGTGGTGTGCTCTCTAAGCAAACAAATTGGTTTGTTACCGATTGTCTTAAGGCAAATTATTTTTAGCTGTAATAAAAGTATTTGTTTTATTAAATTATAAAACTACCTTTACAACCACTTCAAGAGCTCTTTTCCCACTTAGGGAATTAGTATTAGTAGTAGCTATGAACATGAATTTTGGAATTAAGTGCCTGAGTTCAAATCCCAACTCTGCCATCCACATTGTGACCTTGGAAAGTTACACTCCTCTGAGCTTCATTTTCTTCATCTGTGAAAAGCTATTAAAATAGCACCAGTTTCGCTCGTAGGTACATACATTAGATGAGTAAAAACGAAGTGCCCAGAACAGTGGCTGGTGTGAAGTATGTGCTGTATAGGTGCTAGCTGCTAGCTGCTTGTTGTTTTTCTGGTATTTTAGATTGATTTTACAAAATGGTAAAAAGGGGAGGGGGGAGAAAAATGAGGAAGAGGAGGAGTAATTTTCTATGGCAAAATATTCTTGATGGCTGAATCTCAAAATATGAGTCTCAATGTTTGAAGGCTTTACATTTTTTACTTAGTTGCCCCCCAAAACAATCATTGTTATATCCTTCTGTGTATGAAATATAAAATTTTCCACATTTGAATATGGAAGCCTATATGACCAAGAGTTAGATTTATCTTCTTTTACTTTCTTAAAGTTGATTCTATTTTAAATGTATGATTTTGTTTTATATTTTTGTTTTTTGTTCTCTCTTTGACTCACCAGTCAGATAGTAACATGTCCCAAGCATGTAACTTTTAAAGAAGTTACATAATACCTAGCTGTTTTTCCAGTATAGCTAGGTGGTATTCTTTATTAGTAGTTCTGAATTTTCATAAGCCATAAGGAAGAATAAAACTTCTTTTGTGTTTTCTATTGCTATGTTAACAACTTAAAACAAATTTAGTGACTTGAATGTAGGTTAGAAGTCTGGTGGGCTGGGCTAAGTTCTCTGTTTAGCTTCTTGCAAGGCTGGAATCAAGATGTTGGGAGATCTTACCCTTTTTGGAGGCTCTTGAGATGAGTCTGCTTTCAGGTTCACGCACATGGTTGGTAAAATTCAGTTTCATGTGGTTGTAGGACTGCACTTCCCTTTTCCTCACTGGCTGTTGGCCCAGGTGTCATTCTCAGCCTTTAGAAGTAGCCTGTATTCCTTGACTCATGGCCCTCTTATCTTCAGTGCTAGCAGCACCACAGCTCATTCTCATGCTTTAAATTTCCTTGACTTCTCTATTTCATCTCTCTTCTTCTTCCAGCAGCAGAAATTCTCCATTTTTAAGGGTTTATGTTATTAGATTTGGTTATCTCGATAATCCAGGATAATTTCCCCATCTGGAGGTCCCTTTTGCTGTATATGCCATAACAAATTCTGGAGGTCAGCACATGAATATCTTTTGAAGGCAGTTCTTCTGCCTGCCATCTTTATTGTCGATTTCTTGGGAATATAGTTGTTGTGATGGATCAATTTGAATGAGATTTTAATTTTTAATTTTACAGGTTTTTTATGTTAACTTTGGTGACCTTTTATGTACCTTACATGAAACACCTTATGTAATAACAACTGGGGATTCGTTTTATGTTCCTTCAGGTAAGAATAATTAAAGACATTTTCTTTCACATGGTTAAATGTTTATATAGTTGCTCATGAGCACTGTAGAAATGGAAGCCACAGTGGTCAAAATGAAGCATGATATAACTAATGCCAAAGAAGTTCGATACATACATTTTTAAAAAATGTTGTCATTAGGTAAGTATATTGTTTCAATGCATGAAAATTGAACAGCAGTTGTTTACAATATTGCTGAATATAAAAATATCTAGTTAGAAAATACAGGGTGGTGGGAAAATTACTTCCCTTGTGTTATCTCTAAGACATTAGGTAGTTGAACAATTTTAGTAGATTATTTTAAACATATAGAATAGTAGTATGCTTCATCAGCTGTTGAAGAACACATCATTGGATATTGGAATCTTTATATGTTCCTTTGTCCATTCCTTGCTTCAACAATTGTAATTGAGAGTCTATTAACCATACCTCTAAGAATGTGAGACACATAACAGGCAAAATTCCTGTCCTCCTGGAGCTTATATTCTAATGACAATAACAACAACTTTGTCTTTTGTATGTGTCAAAACTATTATGAATACTTTATGTGTATTAACTCTATTAATCTAAATATACATCAATTTCTAATATATAGAAAGTCACAGTATGGTACTCAGTGCTATAAACCTTCCTTTAGTGTGCTGTTCATCTGTATTTCATTTTTTTGTTATTACCTAATTTATTTAAGAATATCATTTGCTTTTATTTTTTTAACTTTGAGATTTTTACCTTTCATACTTACTTATATATATATACATATGTCTGGTTTAGGAGAATCCACAACAGTTCCAAAGACCTAGTAACCATTGGGTTCAGAGAGATTTTCTTTTCCCATACCCTTTTCTAATTCATCTTTGTATTCATGATCAAAATGAAGTGAAATTTACATTCTTTCAAGCCTTATGTGGATCACAGATGGTGGTTATTAAGGAAGAGGTACTTTGGGATAGATGAATTGATTTTTGGTTCCATATACTTTAATTACCTAAGTGATGGCTAAACATTTAATCAAAAGGAAATATCTTACAGAAATAATTTTTAATTTTATTTTCTTATCACTTTACTTCTAGGTAATTATTACAACATCAAAAATCTCCTGAATGAGGAAAGTGTTCTTCTTTTTACTCAGATAAAAAGATGAAAGATGAAGCAAAGTTTAAATATGTGCGTGCATGTTATGTGTATATGTATAGACATATACACACATGCCTATAGATATATAATCGTTTGTGCAGTTGGGACATTTAATTTGTAATTATTAGTGATATTTTAAAATAAAAATTTTATTTAGTTTTGTGTGTACTTGTATCTGATAAATATTTCGAACTTCTATATGAATCTTCTAATTTTCCATGAATTTACACAAAGCCTACATTCTTAGAATTGCCCATATTCTTAGAATTTTAATAACATAAAAATATCCAAATCACTACTCCTACAGTGGAATATAGAATACTTTTCTTTGTCATAAGAGATCTGATTAATGTATCTGTTCATTTAAAACATCTTTTGCAAATATTAGTTTTAAGTCACTAATCAAAATAATTCAGTGATAAAGGACTGTGGTAAATGGTACACCTGTATTACTTTTCCAGGGCTCTTGTAACAAAGTAGTACATGCTGGGTGGCTTAAAACACAGTGTTATTGTTTCACAGTGTCAGAGGTTAGAAGTCTGAAATCAGTGTGTTAGCAGGGTCATGCTCTCTGAAACTGCGGATTTCACAATAATGCTTCTGTTTAGAACTTATCCTTCAATTAACCAAAGAGTCATTGTGAACGATCATTACAGAATGACTCAAGCTTTCTTCTTAACATTACTATGCACTAAAGATAAATGAAACAACCCAAATGTCCATCAAGAGGGAAATAAAGTGGTATGTTCATAAGGGATACCACTCAGCAATAAAAACACATTTCCAATGGAAAATGGTGTACAGACTGATATACACAACACTGTACCATAGGGGGGAGGAGGTTGGAGGGCCAGGTGAAAAAGTTGAAGGAATTAAGAAGTACAAATTGATAGTTACCAAATAATAATGGGATATACAGTACAGCATTGCAAATACTGTCAATAATATTGTAGTAACTGTGTGGTGCCAGGTGGGTACTAGACTTACTAGGGGGAATCACTTCATAAATTATAAATATTAATGTCTAAACACCTGTGCTATTGAATTGTAAGCTCATACAGACAGTTACCATTAACCACTACATTTTCCCTTTAGTATGTTTTACACTTTCCTGTTTTTTTGCATATCTAATAATTTTTGGTTGAAAACTAGATATCTTAGGAATACATTGTACAAACTCTGGATTATATATTATATCTAAGGTTTAAAATTTTTTATTGCATTTGTTGCATTGACATTGGGGTCTCTTGTGGTTCCACATGAATTTTAGAATTGTTTTTCCTATTTGAAAAAATGCCATTGGATTTTTTATTGTTTCTGCATTGCATCTGTATGTGGCTTTGGGTAATATTGGCATATTAACAATATTCTCAGGTCAATAAACAAGGAATAGCTTTGAATTTATTTGTATCTTCCTCAATACATGGTTATATAGCAGATTCATCATGTGGCTGAGAGGAGCTGGAGCCAGGTTATAGGGTTGTTTCAAGATCTGCAGTTAGATCGAAGTTGGATGGCCTGCATTGGGGCACAGATAGGCTTGTCTTACCTGGTTGCTGGGCAGGATTATGGTTAAGAAGGAAAGGAGTCTGGGCCTGGCTGCTTCAGACTCTACAGCTGAGACTAAGATAGGCAGGCCTGTTACCCAGGGCATAGGCAGGCAGTTGGCATTCCTACTGGGTCCCTTGGCAGATGGTGATGGTGTCAGAAGCAAGGTCAAACAGGGCTGTAGCTGGGTCTACAAGTGGACAGAGCTGTTTGGATCTGTACCCTGGACCATGGTGGACAAGTATGCCACCTGGTCCCAGGTCTGCCTTTACTAAGTTTCATTAATACTCTGAAATAAAATTTCCTGATATAGTCTATACTGTACATAATTTAAATAAATAATATAATGCTTTAACTGTATTATAAAGGAGGAAGTAAAGAAAAGGAAAGAACTATTAGAGGAAAAAAGACTGATGCTTCATTTTCACTTTAAGTTTTTGTATTTTTATTGGGTCAATATGTGAAAGTGACTACTTTCTGTGTCATGCTTTATTTGAGAAGACATGATGCTAGTTTTAGATATAAGGGATTATAACTAATTCCTTGGTTTTAACCACTATCATGGGTATTTGTGTGAATGAACTTTTTCTGAATATTAAATTTAGTTGAACTTTGATCTATGTTGATATGAGTACTGATATTGGAAGTGAGGCCTCGTGAGTTTTAAAGTCTGTGTTCTGCAAACAGATAAATTTGTCATCTGCTGCTTAGAAAACATCATTGTTCATTTTATCATTTACAAGAAGAAATACAATAGCTTTCTTGTGATTGGAGGGAGCATTAATTTTTCTAAGAGCTAATTTGTCAGGAAGCACAGGTTATGTCAACTGAGGTTATTGAGGTCTTTTTTTCTTTCATTCAGAAAGGAAACAAGATGAAAATGCTACACTGTCAATTGAAAATAGAATTTTTAGAGGAAAGCCAAGTACTCAAGGCCACCCAGAGCTTACAACTTATATGTCTGCAAATATCTTAGTGGCATGGATCCAGACGGATAAGTGAGTCTGGGGTGATAAAGGGGCAAAAAAGAGGACTCTGCTATGTAATCACATATACTTAGGGTTTAAGGAAAATATGCAAGGTAATCACAAGTGAAACCCATATTATAGCCCAATAACTTTCCTTGATGTTTTTTATACATGACATACATTAGTTTTTCGATGCTTGGGAGTAAATATATGTTATATGTCTATTTGATACATATATAATACACACCAATATCTAGCATCTATATTTTTAAAATTTTACAACATAGTAAATAAATATTCTTGTTTAAAAAAACTCAAAATGGAAGAGGAATTCATTATTAGGGTAGTGGGTACATGATATTACTTTAAAGTGAACTGGGCTCAATAAAGGATAATACCTGTTCTAGATGCAGAGCTAACCTGTAAAATCTCTGCCACTAGTTCTATTAATCCCTCCTTCACTGCTTCCTTTGCTGCTACCCTACTGATCTTACCTTCAACTCTCCTGACCTTGCACTGAATGTTCAAAACTGCCAAGACCACACCCAGTGGCAGAAGGACTGCAATTATTTGAGCTTTTGGAAATCAAGGAGATAACCAGGCTGCTAAAACTCAAGTATATGCATACAACCAAACTTTTGGGTGTCTAATAGGTACATAAATCCATCTTCCCAGCTTGTGAACTACAAGATTTTTCCAATTAATGTAACATTCTTCCTATCCAAAGGAGTGCATCTATTTCATTAATCTCAAGTTTTCCTTCAGTGCTCTAACGGCCCTATCTCAATATTCTGTGATTCAAGGACTAAATGATAAAATTAATTACCGACAGGGTGCCAAGTATATGAGGATGTACTGTGAAGGTGAAGAGTCAAAGAGAGGGTGATAGTGCAAATGAAATTCATGAATGATACATCAAGGAAGAAATATTCTACTGGCCTTGTTTCTGCAACTGAAGATTAGAATATAATTGATTCTTTTACGTTTCTCCACTAGCCATTCCATATTTACCTTTGCCTTTGGTCTTTCAGAAGTTGAGTTCTTTGTTCAGTGCGAGGAATCAAATTTTCATGTGAGAAGAATGTGAGCTTTCTGTATTACAGCCTGATGAAATTTGAAATAATAACTGTTCTTCAATTAACTTAAAATTTTAGAACTATTTTGATTTACAGAAAAGTTACAGTGGTAGTAGAAAGTTCCATGTACCTCACAATGAGTTTCCTTTATTTGCAATATAAAAACAACTTTCTGTTATTATTGTTCCCATTACCTTCCCAACCCCTTGTCTTAATGTTGCTTTCCCTACTGGCACCCCATGCAAATAGGTTCTCCTTTGGGTCTGGGATAACTTTTACAATCTTTAACATTTATTATTTCCTTTTTCTTCATATTTTTTCTGCCACAGGACAATAGGTTATAATGAATTTATCAGAGAAATTGAGTAATAAGAGCTTCTTTAAAGTACCCAGCACTTATCTGGTGTTGCAGTGTCCTGCCTGTTAAGTTTGAATAAGCATAGGTTGATAAAGACACTCCAGGTTAGTTTGGATGACAGGAGAATTTGTTAACATTTTTAAAATTACAAATTTAGAATTAACAGCTTTATTAAGCTGTTAATAATTGATATCAAAATCATGTTTAATGTATACAGTTTGATGAGTTTGGACATATGCACATACCCATGAGATCATCATAACATTCAAGATAATAAACATAATCCATTACCTCCCAAAGTTCTCTTGTGCTCCATTTTTTTGTGGTAGGAACATTTAACATGAGATCTACCCTCTTAACAAATTTTTAAGTGTGCAATATAGTATTGCATACTATAGGCATTATGTTGTACAGTGGATTTATCTTGCATAATTAAAACACACCAAATGAACAGCAACTCCCTATTTGCATCACTCCCAAGACTTCAGCAACGACCATTGCATTCTTTGATTTTATGAATTTCACTATTTCAGATACTTCATATAAATGGACCCATGAAGTGTATGACCTTTTGTGACAGCTTATTTTTTTAGTGTAATGTCTTCCATGTTCATTCATGTTATCATATATGGAAAGATTTTCTTCCTTTTAAAAGTATATTCCACTGTATGCTTATATCTTCTTTATCCATTCATCCATTGATGGATATTTTTGTTGTTTCCATATCTTGGCTGTTGTAAAGTTGCAGTGAACTTAGGAGTGCAGATACTGCTAAAGATCCTAATATTATTTCCTTAGGATATATTCCTAAGTGGGATTGCTGGATTATATGGTAGTTCTATTTTTAAATATTTTCAGGAAACTATATTGTTTTCCTTACCAACTACATTCCTATGGGTAGTGTACAAGTTTCATTTTCTCCACATTCTTGTCTTTTTTTTTATAATAGCCATCCTAACAGATGAGAGATGATATGTCATTGTGTTTTTTAAATATATTTTATTAATAATGCTATTACAGTTATTCTATTTGCCCCCTTCATTCCCCTCCACCCTGCACACCCCCCCACCATTCCCCCCCTTTAGTTTATGACCACCTGTCTCAAGTTCTTTAGATTCTATAATTCCCATACTATTCTTGCCCTCCCCCCTATCTATTTTTTACCTACCATCTATGCTACTTATTTTCTGTACCTTCTCCCCCCTTCTCCTTCTCCCACTCCCCTGTTGCTAACCC